AAAACCTGCCAGCCCGCTGGGATTGAGGGAGCTCAGTCTGCCCCTGTGTAACCCCCACCTCCCCCCTGTCCCCCCTGTTCCCCTCAGGACCAGGTCTCGAAGGATAAGGCTCTGCAGAGCATGGCTTCCATGTCCTCAGCGCAGATCGTGTCAGCCAGCGTCCTGCAGAACAAGCTCAGCCCCCCTCCTCCTCTTCCTCAGGCCGTCTTCTCTGCTGCCCCCAGGGTGAGGACAGCCCCACACGGGGACAGCCCGGGCTGGTGGGGACACACATGGGGCAGGGGGGTGTTCAACAGCATTCTCAGCCCTGGTGGCAGTGCAGGGCTCCCTGCTTTGCAGCAGGTGAGCAGGGAAATGTTGGGAGTGGGGAGAGTCAGAAGCCACTGACTCTTCCCTGTGCTGTTTTCCCAGTTTTGGAGTGGGCCTATCCCAGGACAGCCTGGACCCTCTCAGGAGTAAGTACAGACCCCTCCACACCCAGCACCAGCAGGACCCCACCTTGCCAAGGGGCTGGGGCATCCCGGCCTTGGTGGCCTGATGATGCTTTTTCCTTTCCAGCATTAAACCGTTTGCACAACCAGCTTACCCCATCCAGCCACCCATGCCTCCATCACTAGCCAGTAAGTCATGTCCTTACCCCCTTGGAGGGAACCCAGTGTCCCTGCCTGAGTCTGTCCTCTCTCCCTTCCCATGCATGGTGCCACCCACCTGTGTCTCCTCCCCAGCTCTAGTGGGGGAAAATCCTGAGCTGAAATCCAGCACAAAGTTCCCCGGTGAGCAGGACCCTCCAGCCCCTTCCCATCCAGTACACCTCGTGTTTTAGATGTTTTACCCACCGTGTGCTGGGAGGGAGGTGGATATGGGAGGGGGAAAATCCTGAGTTGGAATCCAGCAAAAAGCTGTCTCCTCCCCAGCTCTAGTGGGGGAAAATCCTGAGCTGAAATCCAGCAAAAAGTTCCCCAGTGAGCAGGACCCTCCAGCCCCTTCCCACCCAGTACACCCCACGTTTTAGATGTTTTACCCACCGTGTGCTGGGAGGGAGGTGGATATGGGAGGTGGGGGCTGCAGGGGGGACAGCAGCATTGCAGGGGGGGTCACCCCGGTTCCTGGCTGTCCCCCCACCCCCGTGTCACTCCCCTGGCCCAGGTTACGAGCCCTTGGCTCCGCTCCCGCCAGCTGCCTCGGCCGTGCCGGTCTGGCAGGACCGCACCATCGCCTCCGCCAAGCTCCGGCTCCTCGAGTACTCCGCCTTCATGGAGGTGCCCCGGGATGCTGAAACGGTAAAAAATCCCCTCTGTGCGCCCGCTGCCCGCCTGGCACGGCGCCTGTCCCTCCCTCCCCGTGCCTGGTGGCGCCTTGCTGCTGCCTGACCTGTCCTGCTGCTGTCCCCACCCCGCTCCCTACAGTACAGCAAACACCTCTTCGTGCACATCGGCCAGACGAACCCCTCCTACAGCGACCCCCTGCTGGAGGCCGTGGACATCCGCCAGATCTACGACAAGTTTCCCGAGAAGAAGGGCGGCCTCAAGGAGCTCTATGAGCGTGGGCCCCAGAACTCCTTCTTTCTCGTCAAGTTTTGGGTATATATATATTTTTTTGTTGAGTGTTGGGTGTAACCCTCCTCCTGCTGGGAGGGTGACTGTGGGGAGGGTCGTGCTCAAGCTACAGGCTCATTGAGGGTCAGGCTCTCTGCTGGCAGAGCTGGAGCATCCTGGGCAGCTCATCCCCATGGGGAGCTGGGTGTGGTGGTGCCTCACGGGACCCTCTGTCCCTCTGCTCTCTTCAGGCGGATCTGAACAGCACGATCCAGGACGGGCCAGGGACCTTCTATGGTGTCAGCAGCCAGTACAGCAGTGCAGAGAACATGACCATCACAGTCTCCACCAAGGTGTGCTCCTTTGGGAAGCAGGTCGTGGAGAAGGTGGAGGTGAGTTCCACGTCCCGCTGCATCGCAAACGGGTCGGAGTTAGTCCACGGTGGGTCCTGGGAAGGAGAAAACCCCAGAGCTGGGTGTAGGACACATGAGTACCATGTTTATGGGTGGGGTGGAGAGGACAGTGCCATGTCCCAGCTGCTCACCTGGCTGTCCCCGCAGACGGAGTACGCGCGGCTGGAGAACGGCCGCTTCGTCTACCGCATCCACCGCTCTCCCATGTGCGAGTACATGATCAACTTCATCCACAAACTCAAGCACCTCCCAGAGAAGTACATGATGAACAGTGTCCTGGAGAATTTCACCATCCTGCAGGTATGCCTCCCCTCCTTTTCCAGGGGGTGTGTCCACTCCACCAGGAGTGTGGAGCCCACACTTGGATCGACCCTGCTGGCCCCGCACTGACCTGGCTGGGCCTGAATTCCAGGGAGCAGATCTTGGTGGTGCAAACAAACTGGCTGTGCCCAAGCCTGGACAAGTCTACCAGATAACAGGGAGCAAAATTTTCATGGTGTAATTAAATTGGCTGCGCCTGAGTGTGTTTGATTTCACCAAATAATCTGTATCAGTTTTTGGTGGTGCAAATGCAGTGGCTGGGCCTGAGGCAATTCAATTCCCCCAAACAAATTTTTGGTGGTGCAGTTCGGGCTATTCCTGAGCCTGTGCAACATCCCCAAAATTCTGTAGTAAATTTTCATGGTGCAATTAAATTGGCTGCACCTGAGTGTGTTTGATTTCACCAAATAATCTGTAGCAGTCTTTGGTGGTGCAAATGCAGTGGCTGGGCCTGAGGCAATTCAATTCCCCCAAACAAATTTTTGGTGGTGCAGTTCGGGCTGTTCCTGAGCATGTGCAACATCCCCAAAACTCTGAAGTAAATCTTGATGGTGCAATTAAACTGGCTGTGCTACTGCCTGTGTGACCCCACAAACAATGGGTAGCAAACGTTTTCATGGTGCAAAGTGGCCGTGCCTGAGCCCAAGATCTGCAGCCCCCCCAGGCAGCAGCCCTGCCCACGGGCACAGCACTCCCCTAACCCCCTCTGCTCTGCTGCAGGTCGTTACGAACAGGGATACCCAGGAAACCTTGCTCTGCATTGCCTTCGTTTTCGAGGTGTCCACCAGCGAGCACGGCGCCCAGCACCACGTGTACAAGCTGGTCAAGGACTAGGGGCCCTTGGGGACAGGCAGGGGCACGAGGGGCCTGCAGGGGAGGGAGGGGGCCCTGCAGAAATGCCACCCGTGCCTGTTGCCTTGTGAGAAGTCATTTGAAGACAGGAGGAGGAAGAAAAACAATAGCCAAAAAAGACTGACTTGTGATGATCGCAGATGTTTTCTACTTAGGAACAGTTTCTTTTTTTTTTTTTTTTTAAAAAAAAAAAAAAATTACCAAAAAAAAAAAAAAAAAAAAAAAAAAAAAGAAAAAAAGAAAAAGAAAAGAAGAATGGGAAAGGAAGTGTAGGGAGAAAGGAAGGCCACATCTGGTGCTGGAGAGGGAGAGAGCAGCCCTCGGTGTTGCTGATGGAGGCCAGGATCCCAGCGTGCCAGCAGCAGGACGAGGAGCAGAGGAGGAGCCCTCCTTCCACGCCAGCCTCGCCCAGAAGTGGCTCTGTCCTGAGAGGAGAGGAGAGCAGCGAGCACGGACGGGCAGGAGGATGCAGCACCGTGCCAGGTCTGGAACTGGTGGGCATGGCAGCGACAGCAGCGCTGGCACCGCGTGGCACAGCCCAGGGCACGGGGGATGGACGGGCAGGGTGCAGCAGGGGGACACTGCCACCCCCAGGGGTGCTCCTTCTCCATGCCCTGGGAACCAGTGAAGGCATGAGGGCATTGACAATGCAAACCACGGGGGGACAGGCAGCCTTTTTTTCCTTTTTTTTCCTTTTTTTTTTTTTTTTTTTTAATGAAAGTGCTTTTTAATACTTTTTAAAAAGACACCATGCTTGTAATCAGGCTGATGGCCCTCTGCAGTGCCAGGTGCTGCCCTCCCACCCTGCATGGGAAGTGGCTTGTTTAGGGAAAGGTTTGGGGTGCCTCCACCTCTGGCTGGGTTTTGTGGGGGATTCCTCGTGCTGTGTTCAGGAATTGCACTTGGGGCTGGCCCAGGCTCAGTGTCCCCACTGTGGCTGCTTGCTGAGGAGTCGTGAGTGCAGAGCAGTGAGGGCAGATTGCCTGATTTATTTTGTGTATGTACATTTTCCTTGTTTCTTTTATTTTTTTGTTGTTCCTTCACCTTGTTTTGCCTTTTTTCTGCAATGACTGTTCCAAACTGCTCCGTCCACTCTCCTGCATCCTGTGGGGAGTGGCCAGGGAGGTGCAGGGAAAAACATTGAGCAGTGCAGGGCCAAGCTGTCAGTGGGCAAGGACAGAGACAGAGAGGGGACAGAGACCAGGAGGGGTGCCAGGAGAAGGGACTGGGTCAGCTTGGAGGTATTTTTGTGGCTGCAGCCCAAAGTAAACCAAGGCAGAGTGCCCAGTCCTGAGGCTGCAGTTGCAAGGGCAGAGTCTGGGGAAAGCAGCCCCAGGCTGCAGGAGGGTCACAGAGGGACAGAGGTGGCAGGGAGCAGGGTGGCAGGAGGCTGGCAGGGGGACAGAGAGCCCGGGGTGGCCAGGTCTGGATGGGTTTCTCATGTTGGCAGGGGAGTGAAGGCAGTGGGAAGGAGGCAGGGGTGTTCTGAGGGGCACTGCAGCTGCTTTGGGAGGGGGACAGGGCAGGGTTAGGCTCAGTGCAAGGAGCAGGAACAGCCCCAGAGCTCAGGAAGGTGCCTTGGCTGCTGCCTTGGTGCCACGTGTCCTGTGAGGCATGGGGACTTCGACCTCTTGCTGCTGGGAAAAGCCACCCATCCCCGAGGGAAGGGGCAGAGCCAGCCCCGGGCCAGGCTCCGTGGTGGGACTGGACTGAGGTGGCTGCAGTGAGCAGGGCAGACGGAGCAGGGAGGGAAAAAGAGAGAAAAATCCAAAGCCAGGCACTGGCAAACCATGCCAGGGCTGTGCTGGGCCTCTCTGGCCAAGTTCTCATATGTAGCATGTTTGTTTGTTGTTTTGTAGGTTTTTGGGTTTGTTTTTGGTTTTTTTTTTCCTTCTGTTTCACTCACTGATCTAAAACTCTGGGAATGCAAACTCAGAAAACTCCCCCACCATAAACCACAGGCATGCCCACTCCCAGCCCTGATGGGGGACGAAGCTCTTTGTTAACTGGACCGGTTTGTGCCTCCATCCCTCCCTGCCTCCCTCGTGCCTGCACCGAGCCCAGGGCTCACACTGCACCCCACGCACACAGACTGCTGCCCCCAGCAGCCCTGGCTGGGGTTTAGCCATGATCCCAGAGACACTTTCTCAGCTCCCCCAGCCCCTCCGTTCGCCTCCAGTGTATTTATGAATTTCACATGAAGTACTGTTTTATTTTTTTAAAGACTTTGTAAAGCTTACCAGGGTTACAATCACCATTTTTAGAGCTGCGTCAGTCCACAATGTTAAAAATCCAATTTTTTTATGTATTATATTTTTTGTGTATTTTTTTTAATCCAGCTGTGATGGGTTGTATCATATATTTGTTGTGTTTACTGTATCTGTCCAACTTCAAAGAGAGGAGACTGTGGAGCTCCGAAAAAACTACGGTCTGCTGAAAAAAACCATTAAAATTATTTGTTCATGGGTTGGCTCAAGCAGTTCTGAAGTTTATATTTTATTTCATGGGATTTCCTTCTTCACCCAGGACTATGAGAGCTGCCATGTCCCATGTAACCCCTTGGAAGGGACCCCAGTTTTGGGGTACCAGGATGCTGCATCCTGCTGCGTTTTGCTCTAGTTTGCATCACTGCTGCAGGGTTTGCTTGGGAAAAGTTGGGTTGGCCATGGCAGACACTTCCCTGCAGCATCCCGGGGTTCAGGAACACTTTTAGGGGGTCACATCCTCCACCACAGGGTGACAGAGGGGATGCTCTGTCCCAGCACTCACCAGCACCCTCCAAGCCCTGCTCGCGGTGTCTCAGCTGTTGGTCACACACCTCATCCTCCACTCAGGCACACTCGTGTTTCACCAGCAGCCGCTCCCCCCGTCCTGCGAGCCGTTACACCCATCCCACCCCGTTACACCCACCACACCCGCCCGGGTTCCCTCCACCCATCCCGGCCCCATTCCCCACCCCGGTCCCGGTCCCGGTCCTGCCCCTTCCGCCCCGCTCCGCTGCCTGCCGGGACGCGTAGTCCCGCGGCCCCGCGCCGCTCCCGGCCCGCCGCAGGTCCGCTCCCGGCCCCGCTGCTCCCGGTCCGGTTCCTCCCGGTCCCGCTGCTCCCGGCCCCGTTCCCCCCGGCCCCGCTGCTCCCGGTCCTGTTCCTCCCGGTCCCGCTGCTCCCGTCCCCTTCCTCCCGGCCCCGTTGCTCCCGGTCCCGTTCCTCCCGGTCCCGCTCGTCCCGGTCCCGCGGCTCCTGGTCCTGATCCTCCCATCCCATTCCTTGTGGCCCCGCTGCTCCCGGTCCCGCTCGTCCCGCTCCCGTTCCTCCCGGCCCCGCTCCTCCTGCAGCTCCTCCGGTTCCCCGCTGCCTCCCCCGCTCTTCCTGTAGCTCCGCTCCTCCTGCTCTGCTCCCCCCCCGCTGCTCCCGGTCCCGCTCCTCTCCTGTGTCCCCTCTCCTGTCCCCTCTCCCGTCCCCGCTGTCCTGTGTCCCCGCTCCTGTGTCCCCTCTCCTGTCCCCGCTGTCCTGTGTCCCCTCTCCTGTGTCCCCTCTCCTGTCCCCTCTCCCGTCCCCGCTCCACCTGTTGCCGCTGTCCCGCTCCCGCCGCAGCCTCGGGGAGCGCCCCTGGGGGCTCAGCCTCGCTGCAAGCCGCCGGCATTAATTAATTACCGCGGCTCGGGAGCGGGATGAGCCCGCCGGGGCCGGCAGAGCTCGGCTGCCCGCGCCGCTCTCCTGGAGCTCCGGGGCTGCTCTTTTCGGCTCCGACACCGGAAATTAGGCAATGGCACGGGGTCAGGCAGGGGGGGAGCGGAGCTGGGGAGAGCCGGGGCTGCTCCGGAGCTGCTGGCTCCGCCGGGGTTTGGGGTCCGAGAAGGATCCGCGGGCTTCCCGAGTGGGAGGTGCGTGACCGTGTCCCATGGCCGCGCCTCGCAGCTCCACTGTGAAACCAGGATGAAATTCCATCCTGGAGCACAACTCACTGACAGGCAGAGGGGTTGAGCCCCCAGCCCTGGCCCACCGGTGTCCCCAGCCACTGGTTGTAGGGTCCCATGGGTGCTTTGGGTACACGGAGCCCTCTGCGGGGGCAGTTTAGGGTTCGGGGTGGTCCTTGTGTGCAGGAAAGGAGGCGAAAGGCACCCCAAGCACTTTTCCTTCCTTCCTTTACCTCGGCTCAGCCCTTCCGCCTTCCCCGCCTGGCTCCTTGGCTCTGTCCCGCTGCCTGCACTGGCTCCTGCTCCTGCCCGCTCCTGCAGGTCCCCGCTCTGCCTGGCACTGCCCGCTGACCCCCAGAGCAGGCATGGAGGGAGAGCCCACCCTGCGCCTCCGTATCTTCAACCTCAACTGCTGGTGAGTCCAGGCCTGGCCAGGCTGTGCCAGGCTGTGTGGGGGGAGAGAGGGGCACCACGCTGGGGAGGGGTCCCACCTTGGGGTTAACTTCATGGCTCCTTCATTTTGGGGTCTCACCACTCTCCCTGCCCAGAGGGTCATGAGGTGCTTGGCTGGGTAGTGCCTCCTGTCTCTTCCATGCTTGTTAGCCCCAGAAAAACCCCACAATTGCACCCCAAGCAAGGATGAGCTGCCTCAGTTCTGGAGGCAGGAGAAGCTGTCCCCAAACAGCCTCCCTACATCTCGTCCTCACACAGCCTTTTCCTCTTCCCATCTTTCCCACTTGCTTCTGCCGGTACTGGAGCCCTGTTTCTCTCCCTCATTTGGGGTCACAGTGGCCCCAAGAGCCCCCCTGTCCCCACCAGGCTTTGACTGTCACCCTCTGTGGCAGGGCCATCCGCTACCTGAGCAAGCGGCGGCAGCAGCGCGTGCGGCTCATCGGGGACACGCTGCGCCAGGAGGGCTTTGACCTGGTGCTGCTCCAGGAGGTGAGGCCAGTTGGAGAGCTGAGTGCCCACTCCCAGCCCGGGAGATGGGCATGACTGTTCCCAGCCTGTCCCTCTGTCCTCCAGGTGTGGAGCGAGCAGGACTACAGCGACCTGAAGGTGAAACTAGCAGGCTGTTATCCCTTCTCCCATTACTTCCGCAGGTGAGGAGGGCAAGGCCAGCCCCCTGGGGCTGGCTGTGGGGCAGTGCCAGGGCTGTGCCATGTCCTTGGGGTTTGCCACTTGCAGAGACCACTACGAGTCCTTTAGGTCACCTCTGTTGCTGTGGGAGACCCCATGCCTGGGCAGTGGGGTGCTCACAGGAGCACATTGGGGTCCAGGCACCTGGGGAGTCCTCCTGGCCCAGGGCTAGGGCGAGGCAGAGGTTTTGGGGTCTCCTCACTGTGCTTCTTCCCTCCACAGTGGGGTGATCGGCAGCGGCCTCTGCGTCTTCTCCAGGTTCCCCATTCTGGACACGCTCCTCTACCAGTACTCACTCAATGGGTACCCCTACATGGTGAGTGGGGTGGGGGGCACGTGGCACCGTGATGGCCATCCCCACAGAGCCTCAGTAGCCCTGTCCTGCCCTTCTTCCCCTCGGGCAGCTCCAGCACGGGGACTGGTTCTGCGGCAAGTCCGTCGGTCTCGTCATTATGAAGATCTCAGGGATCATCTTCAACGTCTACGTCACCCATGTGAGCAGGCCAGGGAGGAACCCAGCATGGGGGAACAATGGGGAGGACGGGAATGAGTGGCCATATCCTGTTTTACTGTCCCCTTGCTTTAACCCTGCTCTCTGCCCTGGACTATGCACTGATTTAATAAAACACTGCTCGGAGCAGGGACCCATAACTTGGTTGTGCACTGCGGTGAGCATCCCATGCTCTCCCCAGTGGGGGTGAAATAAAGACAGAGGTGTTGGCAGGGGCTGTTTGGAGGGGTTGGGTGGCTTTGGAGGGAGCCTGGGAGCAGGGCAGGAGTCACAGCCCCTTTCCTTTCCCTCTCTCTCCAGCTGCACGCCGAGTACTGCCGCGACAAGGATGCCTACCTGCCCCACCGGCTGGTGCAGGCCTGGGAGCTGGCACAGTTCATCCGGTGAGCAGCCGTGGGTGTCCCCTGCATGCCCCCAGGACACTGTGGGCACCCCTGGGGCTTGCACTGCAGAGAGCTCCCATTTGCACCAGTCCCACTCAGGAATAAGGTGGAGGAGCACTGGGCAGGTCCCAGTCACTCCAGTGGGGTGGCAGGCAGGGCAGGCAAGGACAGCCACCCCTGTCCCCACAGACACACCTCAAAGGCGGCAGATGTGGTGCTGCTGGGAGGGGACCTGAACATGCACCCTGAAGATGTGGGCATCCGGCTGCTGCGCGGCTGGACGGGGCTGCAGGACGCCTTTGCTGAGGCCATGCACTTTGAGGTGAGCTGAGGGGCTGGGAGGGGTCCCAGGGCACGCCAAGAGCCCCCAGCTCAGCCAGGATCTTGTCCCAGGGCTGTAAGAACGGCTGCACCCTTGTCCCTGACAACTGCTTCACTGACAAGGCAGAGCTGCTGCCCTTCCCGCTGGGCATCCGCATTGACTACATCCTCTACAAGGTAACTACCCCGACTACATCCTCTGCAAGGTAAGGGGGTGTCTGCCCACCAGCTGTGAGTGCTGGGGCTGAGGCACTGCTGTGACCCCCTTGTCCCCTCACCCAGGCCATCTCCAGCTTCACGGTGAAGTGTGAAGAGCTGAAGACCACCACGGGGCGAGCCCCAGGCGTGGACATCCCCTTCTCAGACCATGAAGCTGTGATGGCAACGCTGCACATCCAGAGGCAGGGACAGCCTGCAGGTGCCACCCTTGGCACAGCTGGTGAGTCAGGGAGCTGCTGCCAGCATCCACTGTGTGCTGGGGGGCTGGTGGATGGACTGGTGGAGTTGGATGGAGTTTTTTGGGGATGTTTCCCCTTGTGGAGGGCTGCAGAGCAGTGGGGATGGGGAGCAGGCTGTTGGGGTGCTATGGGGGGTGTAGGGATGGTATGTGGGGGTCCCACCCTGCTGAGGGCCGCTGTCCCCACAGACCTGGCCCTGGCAGACGTGCTGACAGAGGCACGGACAGAGGTGGGCGCGGGGCTGCAGGCGGCGCGGCGGCAGCGCTACTCCTCGGGCAGGATGGCCGTGCTGGCCCTGCTGCTGCTGCTGCTGCAGGCTGCAGCTGCGCTGGGCACGCTGGCTGGGCTGGGCACGGAGCAGCCCTTCCCCAAGCTCTCCTTCTGCCTGCTGGCCTTCCTCGCCCTCGGCGTGCTCGTCCTCGCCGCCGGCCTGCACCTGTTCCACACCATGGAGGTGAAGATGCTGCACGGCACCGAGGACCAGATGTGGATGGTGCTGAGGGCCCTGCAGGAGCGTCCCAGTGAAGGCTGAGCTGAGGCTCTGGGTGTCCCACAGTGTCCCCTTGCCCACACTACGTCCCCTTTTTCATCCTTGTTTTTAGCTGACTTCAGGTCTTAGGCACTGCAGCCAATGCGGTAGTGCAGGTTTGGCAGCTGCCTCTGGGTGAAATTAAGGTTTTTTGGGGTAGATTTATTGCATTGACCCCTGTGAGAACCACAATGGAGGCAGATTTTTATTGCTGTCTTTTTAAATACACTCTTTTTTACATGGAGGGACCCACTGGCCTGGCTGGAAGGCTTGAAACACTAAGGCTCCCCTTGCCTGGGGTGGCCTCAAAGTTTAAACTGGTGGCTGTTCTGGCAACCAGTCCTGACTGATGGAAAATAAAGGCAATATTTTAACCTTTGGCACTGGGTCAGGGGGGCTTTATTTGAAGGGAGGGGGTTTGCAGCAGGATTGTAGGGCTGGTACAAACACAGGGAGGGTTGGAGGAGGTGCTGGGGGGAATGGCAGGACGAGGGCTGAGCACAGGGTGGTGTTGCTAAGAGAGGAACCTACGCCTGGAACCCCCATCCCAACACATCTGGGGTGCCATGAGCACCATTTGGCCACAGAGGCAACAGCCAGGGACTCCAGGGGCATCTGAGGCCAGGGTGGCATTGCCAAGCAGAAGAAATCCCAAAGGGGCAAGCAGGGCACAGCCACTGGTGTCCCTTGTCCTTGTCCTGAGCACAATTCCCATAGGAGCTCCTGGACAAAAAGCCCTTCCCTGGTAGGGTTCTGACCCTGGTTTCCTGCAGCAGCTGGGGACAGCGTGGATGTGGCATCCAAAAGCAGTGGTGCAGAGCAGCTGGACCAGCCCAGTCTGTCTGTCAGTGGCCCCAACTTGTACAGCCAGATGTCCCTTGAGATGGACAGTCCAGACTGGCATGATGCCCTCAGCTGGGAAGGATGTCCCAGGGTGGCTTTGAGGGACCATTCCTGAAGGTGCCCCTGCACATACGGGCCTGCCTCTGGTGGCCAGTCCCTCCTTGCTGCTGGGAGCCACCACAGCCCCCTTTTGCAGTCCCCTGCCAGTCTTGTTTTCCAGGCAGCACAAGGCAAAGGCACTCCAGCCATGCACAGGATGCACCCCAAGTGGGCTGAGTGCTTCTTGGCGTCTCCTCACGTGGGCATCCACCAGCGGGTCTGGCCCCTCCGCGACAGATTTGGCAAGCAGGGAGCTGGATTTGCTGTGGCAGCTGCTGGCACCTGGGGCATTGCCACCTCCAGAGGTAGCTCAGGGTGGTGCTCAGCCCAGGACTCACTCACTCACACTCTGCTGGTCCCCAGGGAGGACCTGGTGGCCCCGGGGCCGTGCAGGTCAAGCCCGCAGCTCGCTGAGCCGCTTCTCCTCCTGCAGCTGGATGAGGACATTCCGCTTGTTCACCACCTCCACCAGCTGCTTCAGGGTCTCCTGCTCAGCCTTCTCATCCTCAGGTGTCTTCAGGGCATCTGTGGGAGCAAGGGGCCAGAGTAGGGCTGGGAAGGCCACAAGCCCTGACCTGCTCCCTGCACCGTGCAGAGGGATCCTCTCCCTGGCCCGTGCTGACACTCACCCTCCTTGTTCATGTAACTCCGGAGCTTCTCGTCAAGCTGACACTGCTGCTCCTCCAGCTTCAGTTCCTGCACCCTGTGGGGAGGAAGAGGGTGTGCTGGCTACTGCCTTGGCAGGGGATTGGGGTGAGCTGAGCCCCCACAGCGAGCAGGGAGCATCCCCCAGGGCTCACGCGATCATGAGGTCCGACTCCTCGCTCATCAGGTTGTTCTTCTTCTGGACCAGGTACAGCAGCTGGTTTGTCCACTGTGTCTGCTGGTCAGCCAGGCTCTCTGCAGGACAGGGGAATGGTCAGCGGGGTGCAGACCCCCACTGCAGGGTCACAGTGCTCCGTCCACCCTGGCTTTACCATTCTCATCCCGGAGTAGCTTCTCCAGCTTGATGCCCTGCTGCTCCAGCTCCCGGAATGTCACCTCGATCTCCTCCAGCCGCCTCTGGATGGCCTGGAAGAGAAGGGCAGCACTCTCCTGCAGGCCAGCACACGGCCACCAGCTGCAGGACAGAGGGGACAGGGTGCAGGGAACCTGGGGGACAGGATGCAGGGGACAGGGACCTGGCTCTCCCCTCTGGGGTTACCTGGGCTTTGCAGAACCTCTTCATCTGGGATTCCCTGGCCCGGCGGGCCAGTGTGCGCTTCCAGGTGGGGAATTTCTCCTCTTCCCTGGGGTCTGGGTACTGTGAAAGGATGGTGGCACAGGCAGGGGGGTCAGTCCCTGCACCAGGCACCTCTCTTGGCAGCCACAGCTGAGCCAGACCTGATGCCTCTGTGAGAGGAGCAAGAGCCCCAGCTGCCACCTGTGCTGGTGATGCCACCATCCCTTGGGGAAAATCCTCACCAACTCTTTCATGATGCCAAGGCCTGTGTCCTCCTCCTCCTCTTTCTCCTCCTCTTCCTCCCCCTCCTCGCTGTCACTGTCCTCCAAATCTGCCCCAAAAAGAGCTGTTTCAGGCTGGTTCCTCATGTGGGATACAGCGGGGTCCAGCAGGGACTGAGAGCTCTGCTCATCTGGACACTCCAGTTTGTACCACCTACCTTTCTCCATGTCAATTTTCTCCTCCTCCTCCTCCTCCTCCCAGGCGCCTTGTCCCTGCCGCAGGGCAGGGAGGGCCTCAGGTGCTGCTGGGAGCCTCAGACGAGCTGGCTTCAGTGGAGGCTCAGGCTCAGCTTCACTGGTGAGGTTCAGCGTGGACAGGCTGAGCTTCTCCAGCGGTGTAAGGACGATCTTCCTCCTGCCCCCACTCTCCTCACCCTCCTCTGCTGTCCCTCGGGGCTCTGCTCTGGGAACCTCCTCTTCCCTCACACCCCCCCCAGGCTGTGCCAGCAGCTCCTGCTCCTCCGTGTCACCAGTATCCGCGGTGTCCTCAAGGTCCCCAGGCTCTTCCCCTGCCTGTGGGGCTGCTGGGGTGGGCTGAAGCAAACTGGGTGCCCACTCCATGGGGGACACACACGACCTGCCAGGCGGGTGGGCAGCAGCACCAGCATCCTACAGCAGAGCAGAGCAGAGGGGTGATGCAGCACAGGGCCACACCCAACCACCCTCCCAAACATTCTGCCTTTCCTCCATCACCTCCAGGGCTTTGGGGTGCTTTACCCCATCAGGCAGCGCTGGAGCCTCATCCCGGGGCAGGTCCATGCTGGGTGCATTGGGGTAGTGCAGCGAGCAGTAAAAATGACCTGACAGGAGAGCGGAGAGCAGGGTGGGTGAACCCATGTGACAACCTGCCAGGTGGGGAAGCCGTGCCCCAAGCCTTCCCTCTCCCCAAAGCTGCCTCACCATCCTCCTCGTGGAAGGCGTAGTCGCCCAGGCGCAGCGTGGCCCCGCAGCGCCGGCACTGGAAGCAGCCGCGGTGGAAGAAGCGTCCCTCGGCGCTGGCCCGCTCCACGATGTACACACGGCGCCCGCAGAAGTAGCAGGCGTCGCTGTTCTCCCCCGTCCTGTCCCTCGGAGGCTGCGGGGAGAGAGGACAGGCAGCGCTGGCAGCGGGGGCCGGGCGCCCACCCTGCCCTGTGGCTGTGCCAGCAGCCATGGGGGCACGGGCAGGGCTGTGCCCCTCTCGCAGCGCCGGGTCTGGGTGAGGGAGTGGCAAATCTTGGCTCCGGAAAACCAGTTGGGTCAGGAAACAGGCAGGGAGGAGCTGGGAACATGTGGGCGTTCGCTTGTGCAGCTCTGGTCCCGGCCCTTGGCTTGGCCCTGCCAGCCACTGGTGCCCTCCTGGTGCCCCCCTGGCCTGAGCTGGACACTCCACCCCAAGGTGACACAAGGACCAACCTGCCCTGGGTCCATCACGGTGGCTTGTGGCGGCTCGTGGGCACTGTCCAGAGTGTCTCCATCCAGCCCCGTGTCCAGCTACAAGTGACCCAAGGGCAGGGTCAGCCCCCCACTCGCCCCCCAGCAGAGCTGCACCCCAGCAGGGACCCCTCGGGGCACCTGGGGCAGACCCACCTCAGCGTCCCTGCGGCTCCTCTTGGCCTCGCTGTCCTTCTGGGCACCGTCCTGCAAACCCAAAGGGGCTGGTCAGGGTGGGGAGCGTGACACGGTTTTGGTGTGCCGTGAGGGTGTGGGTGGGGGTCCCTCACCTGGGCACGTTTGTGTGCCAGGTTCCGGCTCTTCTGCAGCTTGCTGAGGAAGAGGATGGCTCCTCGTGTGCCAGGGGGAGACAGTGGCTTCTTGCTGACCTCCACCTCTGCACAGGACATGGCCATTTTGGGACCCACCCAGCAAAGAGGACAGCACCCAGCCAGCCCCAGTGCAGCCCAGGATGGGCCAAATCCCCCCAAAATCTCACACCTGGAGAGGTCCCAAAAATTTGATAGAAGTGGCTGAGGTAGGTGATGAGGTCCAGGCGGTCGGGCTCTGTCAAGCTGGCCATCTCAGCACTGGAGAGGACAGGCTGGATGCCCAGCTCCTGCTCTGCTATGTCCAGCAACATCTGGTGGGTCTGAACGGCATCCTGGGGGTCCACGGAGTCAAAGTCCCTGTGGGGGGACACGGCTGCCATCAGGGCGGGCTGGGCAGGGTGGAGGGCTCTGGGGCTGCCAGGCACTCACAGCAGGTCGGGGCGGAAGCGGTGGATGAGGGCACAGAGGGCCAAGCCGCTGGTCCAGGAGGTGCTGAAGTTGGTCACGGCCACGCCAGGGTATCCAGCCGTGCTGGCCTGGCACCAGCTCAGCAGCTCTTCACAGACAGCTCCAGGGGCCACTGGGGAGGCAGAGACAGGGGACACCCCCCCAGTCCACCTCCTGCCTCAGACTCCACGCTTTAAGAGGAAAGGGATCCCATGGGAGCAACCCGAGACACCCCCTGCCCCCCAGAGCCCTCCCCACAGTCTCAATGACTATGCTGAGAAAGCATCTGTCAATATTTCATGGCTCAGCATCTGTGCAGCCTGGAGGGGCACAGCCTCCTCCCCAGACGGCAGCAGGGGCTGAGTCCCCACGAGCAGAGGGGACAGAAACCATTGGTGTCACCAGCACAGCCTGCTGGACACAGGCCAGGGTGCAAGAAACAGGGATGGGGAGGAAAATCAGGGCAGCAGCCACTTGGGCACGGGCTGCAGAAGGGATGGGGCAGCTCCTACCTGTGCTGAGCCGATTGTCACTCTTCCTCTTGTGGTCCACCTCCACCATGCCCACGAGGTAGAGGTCCTTGACCTGCCAATGGGGACATGCCAGTGGTGGGTCACCACCAATGACACCATGCAGGAGGTGGCCTTGGCAAGGGGGACACCTGGACAGCACCCCCAAACCCTCCAGAACCCTCTGCCATCCACAGTGGGCAACACATCCAAGGTCCTGTGGGCTAACAGCTTCAGTCTCACACCCTCTGGGGACAGGGGACTGGGGAAATCAGTGTCACCCTGACAGCCAGGGAGGCTGGGCTGGCTGGCTGTCCCATGGCAGGACCTGCCCAGGTACCTGGCTGGCTTTGATGGCCTGCAGGTTGATGTTGGGGTAGCGCGTGGCCGGGTCGATGCTGTACTGGCTGATGTTCTTGTTGGTGTTGTCCGGGGACGTCTGCGAGAGGCGCTGGTAGATGCTCTCCCTGCGTGCAAGGGACAAAGCTGGCGTCACTGCTGCCATCCTCACGAGCTGCAGACCCTGCCCAGCGGGATGGGCACACTCACCTCTCAGCCAGCACCTCCAGCGGGGGCGTCCCGGCCGCCCACCGCCGCACCATCCACGCTGCATCGAAGGCAGCCAGGAAGCCCCTGGCCACCCCGGTGCCCAGCGGCCAGAAGGGCTGCAGAGGGAAAGGCAGAGCTGCAGCTGGAGTTGCATGGCTGGTCGGGGCAGCTGGGAGGAGGCTGGCAGCTGCCAGGCTTGGCCGGGGATGAAAGAGGGAGCGGCGGCAGGACGCGCACGGCGAGGAGGGGTGCACATCTCATCCCCGGCCAGCACAGCTGCATTTGGGGACAGCTGGGCTGCTCCTCCATCCTGAACCAACCCCAAATCTCCGGTGGGGCTGGAGAAGGGGATAACCTCCCCAAAACATGCTGGGAGCCTGCCCAAGGATGGAGCATGTCGGGCGATTGGGATGAGAGGCACTTAAGAGGGGGGGAAAAATATTGCAACCAAGGCACCTTGCAAGGAGAGGGAGATGGGGGCGTGAGGGGTGCTGCAGGGGAAGCTCTCACCTCCACCAGGCAGTCGCCCACCAGCCCCAGGAGCACACGGCTCCCGTTGTGCTCCCGCACCAGCGCCGCGTTCTCCGAGCGCGTCATGCAGGTGAAGTCGAACATGTCGACATCCGGCAGCTCCCGGTGGTTGAGGGCAAACTCCAGCTCGGGCAGGCAGTAGTTGGTGGAGAAGTTGGCAGCTTCTTTGGCATAGCTAAGGAGGGCATCCCGGTTCACGTTGTCCGGGGCCAGGAGGCTCTCGATGTCCGCTTTGTCCTGTGGGGAGGGGGTGAAGCTGACTGGGGTGTGGGAGGTGATGTTTGTCCCTCAGCCTGATGTTTGTCCCTCAGCTCTAGGGTGCAGCTGTGCCACTGCACTCTCAGTGCCCTGGAAGGATTTTTCCTGTGGCACAGGACTGCTGCAGGCCCTACCACCCCAGGTAGTCAAACCAGCATCCAGAATTTGCATCCCACTTCCAAGGCTTTCGGCTGCCCGTTGCTGTGAGATCCCAGGGTCAGATCCTGCCCTTCTCACCTGGAGGATGACCCCCTTCTTGAGCAGGCTCTGCTTCTTGGCCGTCATGACGAAGTAGTGAGTGTCATCCTTGTAGTACACGATGTTTTCCAGGTCAATGCCTGGTGACAGGGAAGGGGCTGAGCCAAGGCCACGGGGTGTCCCAGCACTGGGCTTGGACACCAAACGTCCCCTGCAATGGGGCACCATGTGGGGACATGCACCCCATTACTGGGGACATCCTGGGGCTGAGCCTCCAGCTCCCTCAGGAGGAGCAGGAGCCCCCAACACCCCACATGGGGGGGTTGGGACCACAGGACCACTGACCCGTTTTGTTGTAGAGGTTCTGGAAGAACTTCTGGTTGTAGATGCGGGCCACGCCGCTGATCTCAGCCACCTCCACCTCGGCCCGGCTGTGGCGGTTGATGAAGTTGGTGGTGATGCCAATGGCCAACTTCCCACGCGTCTCCTTCCGCTTGAACCCTGCAGGAGGGGAGAGCCGTGAGCCCCCAGCCAGCCCCCCATATTGGTCCTGGGGTTCCAGGGACACCTGCTGTCACCTTCAGGGACGAATTTGCCACCGCCAGCTGAGATGAGGACGTCGAACTCGTAGTGGGTGAGGGGAGAGGAGCTGGGCTGCAGCACAGCCTGCCAGCCACCTGCAGGGAGAGGGGTGGTCATCAACGTGCTGGTCCCCAGGGAGCTGCATCTCAGCCCCCCAAAAAGGCACGCCCTGGGCTAGCAGAGTGATGGGGGGGCTCAGAGTGGCCACCTGTTGAAGGAGTGTAGGAGAATGCCCCCTAATGACAGAGTGGCAAACTAGCCTTTGTCCCCCAAAAAAGGAAAAGACACCTTATAGGACCCCAGAGACTTCACTAAAACCTTGGGGTCACCTAACTGGATAGAAGCCAAAAGGTCCCACCTAGGCCATAAGGTAGAAAAGGAGAGAACAAAGGAACCACGAGGCTTTTGTGAAGGTGTTTCTACCAGGGGCAGACCTCTGTACCTGGCTCGGCTTTTCTGTTTATTATTTTGCCTTTTATTAAACCTTTTTGTTTCTAACACTGCAGCAGGAGCCATCCTGCTCATTCTTCGCCTCCAAAGGTAATAGCTAAGCTATCCTTGGGTGGATTAGGTTCCCTTTTAAGGACTCACAAAACCCTGGCCCGACAAAACAGAACCTAATAACCCACAGCCCTGTCCTTGTCCCCAGGAATGCCACCCACCCTGCAGAGATACCGTACCTGCCTTGCCCGTGGGGGGAACGAGCCCCTCGAACCGCACATTGATGTGCACCTCCACGCCCAGGAGCAAAGCCACCTTCAGCAGGATCAGCTGCAGCTGCCGGATACCTGGGAGGGGAGGGAGGTCCTCAGGGCTGCCCCCCTCAATGCTGGGGCTCCCCACGGCCAGCCCGGGCCCCCCAGCACTCACTGATGTGGTCCAGCGTGCCGGTGCAGAAGCGCCCGTAGAACTTCTTGGCGCCCAGCGCGCGCAGGTCGTGGATGGTGAAGGGCCAGAGGTGCAGGACGTTGTTGCGCGAGAAGGAGTCGCGCTTCTCCAGCAGCACCACGCGGGCACCCAGCAGCGCCAGCTCGATGGCAGCCCGCAGCCCGCAGGGGCCAGCGCCCACCACCAGGCACTGCCGGGGCACGGCGCGGCCGTCAGCCCCCAAAACAGGGTTTGGGTGAACCCCCAGTGCTCCCCAAGGCAGCGCCTCCCCGCCTGCTGGGTCGGGATCTGGCCCTGCTCAGCATTGCCTTGTTCTGCCTGATTGTCCCTGCAAATTGGGCACCCCCCGCCCCCCGAACCTTGCCTTCACCCAGGGAAATGGCAGCAATTAAAGCACTGGGCGAGATGAGGGGCAGGTCTGCGGCAGCCCTGACGGGGTTTGGTCTCCTGGCAGCTTCTGCACAGGGATGGGACAATGGGGCACAGCAGTCAGGACAAAAGCCATCATCTGTGGGACAGGGTTCTGTCCCCAAGGGGACATCCTACTTTATCTCCCAGAAAGGACCTGACAGTTCCCTCAGCCCTGCCATGGGATGTCCCCAGTGAGAGGCAGCTGGGAGGAGGAAGGACGCTGCTGCTGGGTGGCACTGAGGTGGCATCGTGCCACAGGGAGCTGAGCAGTGCTAATTAACATCCTGTCCCATTAAACTCCATCAACCTCCCGCCTGGCACATCCTGCATCCTCCTGGGATGAGAGCCAGAGTGTCCTGGGGGATGTTCTCACCCCAGACAAGGACACAGGGCAGGGAGAGACCCAAACCCCACACCCCGCTTACCTTGGTGCCAGCACAGGCTGTGCCCTGCTCGTAGTCCTTGTGCCCAGCTTTCTTATCCAGCTTGCTCCACAGGGCCTTGGCATTCCAGTAGTTGAGGGCAGCCTTGAGGCCGTGGTAGAGCTGTAGCCCACTGCCCTGCAGCCCCAGCTGCTGGCACAGCTCCAGGAAGCAGCCCAGCACCTCCCGGCACTCCCCGGCACGCAGGAACCTCTCAAAGATGGCATGGGCCGGGTTGCCCGCCTCGTCAGCTGGCACACTCATCCCGTGTCACCCAGGGGCCTGGCAGAGGGACAGCAGAGGTCAGCAGGGAGGGGGCCCTCCTGGATCCCCACCCCAAAACTCATCCCGTACCAGACCTGGCGTCCCAGTGCCAGCTTTCCCAGCTGCAGGTGCTGCTGAAACTGGCACTTTGTGGCAGCAGTGATGGAACTGTCCCCGGATGCTGCCCCCAGAGAGGCACGGTGCCACCCTGGCACTGCCCCCAGAGAGGCACGGTGTCACCCTGGCACGGTGGCCTCAGGGCTGTGGCTGCAGTCAGTGGTTTCCTCCATGCAGCGGGTACCTGCAACAGCCAAGAGCAGAGCGAGCTGTTTTGGAGAGAAGACACCACTTCCTTCCTCTGCAGCCCTGGCCCCACTGCGGGGGGAGCTCGTGGCTTTAGGAATCAGCCTCAGAGCTGCTGCAGGAGCCAGCAGGCCCAGCCCCGTGGTGGGGTTGGCTCCGTCCCCCAGCTGGAATGGGGTGACCTTTTCCCCCACCTCCCCTTCCACCACTCCTGCAGCGGGTGGGAGCAGATTAGCACAGAGGAAGCGCCGGTGAGGAAGTCAAATAAAAGTCAAATCACCCTGCAAGCAGCCCCATCACGCCACAGAAGCTGTGAGAGGAAGGGTACAGCACATTTCCCCCTAAGCCTCCCAAAACCCCCTGCCCCTGGCATCCCCAGGGAACCAGTTCCCCTTGCTCCTCTCTGCCAGCACTGCCCTGAGCACCAGCCTGTGCCCTCTGTCTTGCCAGCCCGAGCATCAAGAACAAAATTTTGCCTTTTCCAGCCACTGTGGCCAAGCCCAGGGTTGTGAAAGGCTCCCCCAGCCCAGCACAGACACGGGGCTGCCAAGGAGGATCCTCTGGAAAAGAAAGCTGGGGAAGACGCAGAGCTTCCACCTTTGCACCGCAGCTCTTTGCCCTCTGGCCCCTGGGTGTTATCTGGGCACGTGGCAGCTCCCGGAAGGTGGCAGTGGGACAAGGATGTCGTGAATAAATTAGGCAGCCCGCAGGAGGAGGGAGCTGGGGGTGTGTGAGGTTACTTAAGCACTCAAATTTTGGCTGGAGAGGCCGAATTCTAGCTGGATTTCTTGTTCAGCCTCACTCAGGACTTTCCCGACAGCAGAACTTGAAAAAAAAAACAAACCAAAAACACCAAACTTGTGCCTTGCAAAGCAGTTCTGCAGGTCACCTTCCCTCCAATCACTTCTGCAGGTCACCTTCCCTTCCAGCATCACACTCAGGAAATCCGGGCATTTAACCCCTTCCTTCCTGGGCAGACATAGGACAAGGCACCCAGCCCAGTGGGGGCTGGCACAACCAGAGTGGCAGTGGGGACAGAGGACATGGCCCATGCACTCACGACAGGCCTGAGGACAGATTTCTGCTCTTCCCCTGAGCGCTGCTAGTGACACAGGATGCGCCTGGGGAAACTGAGGCAGCACTGGGAACCTCCCCAGAGACTTCGCAGCACTCCCACCCATCCTTGTGCCAGGGAGGCTGCCAGGCAGAGCTGGCTGCCAGGCACCAGTGCCCCGTGCAGATGGGCTGTCCTCCAGGAGCTCAAGTCACCTCCAGGGCCACCACAGCAGCCCCAGGGAGATGGGAGCATCTCCTCCAGTCTGAGCAGCCCCTGGCTCTGATAAAAGCCCATCTCAGCCTGGATTCCCACTGGACAGGATGCCAGGGGCAGCGGGCTGCCTGGCAAAGCTCTGCAGCCCCCACGCCCCGGCGGGGAGGCACCGAGGAGGCAGAACAACAAGCCTTGTGTTACTCAGTTTCCTACAGAAAGGATTTTATCCTGGCACGCTCAAACCCCCTTGACAACTGCGAGCAAGGTCAGAAACTCCTAGGAAAGCTCAGTTCCTGCAGGCTCGACACAAAACCCCGGCTTCCAGCCCACAGAGGCCAGAGGCAGTGGAGGAGGGCACAGGCTGTGCTAGGCAGCCTCTGGCTCTGCTCCTTCCATCAAAGCCTCTTGCATTTCTTCCCTTAACACTGTTCCTGCAGGCAGGGGGAGGAGGGGATGCAGCCAGCCCTGACTCATCCCATGTCACTTTGGTTGGCTGCAGAAATGTCTGTGGGGACATCAGCTGGCTCTGAGACATGGGGGCACCCCCCGAGCAGGGACACCCCATCCCTCCCTGCAGGTCAGGGTGTCCCTCCTGCCCTTGCAGGAGAAGCATTCTCTTGGGAGAAGGTGGGGGAAGCTGCCTGGGAGCTCACGTGGCTCCCAGGCATGTGGAAATGGGGTGGGAAAGGACACAGCTCCAGAGCTGATGAAAGCTGGGAGGATTTTCAGCAGATCAGCTCGCTGCTGCTGCGCTGGCTCCCAGCATGGATGGGCTGTCCTGGGTCTGGGATTGGGATCCCACCATGGATGGGCTGTTCCAGGTCTGGGATCCAGCCTGGACACCACAGGCCAGGATGCTGAGCTGGGGGCTGGACCAGGAGAGCCCCTCCAGTGAAAGGCCAGGGGTGGATGGAGGGTTTCTTGTGACCACCCAACAGCTTGGCCAAATCCTTGCTTTCAGCCACCAGCTGAGCTGGGAGAGTGCCAGGAAGGGGTGAAGGCACTGGGAGCTCTTACAAACATTATTGTGCTCAGGAGAAACATCCCAGGTGTGGGACTGGGCAGGGAGACCACCCTGGCCAACGCCACAGAAACTTGCCTTGGTTTGGGTGGGTTTTAATCCTCAGAGGGAGGGAAAAATCCCTGTCAGCTGCTCTGGTGTGAGACAGGGGTGTGGGTGCATGAGCACACCCCAGCTTTGCAAGGCCCCAGCATAGAGCTGTGGGAGGAGAGGGGACAAACCTGCATTAAGCTTTTCCAGGGATCCACACACCACAGCCTGGCCATGTCCCGGGGAGCCCTGGGCACAGACAACACTTGTCCCCCTATTTTTGCTGCTCAGCCTGCTCCCCTGCCCACAGAAGGACCTGCCTCTTGCAGCTGAATTTTGGTAAAAAGAGGAAGTCCGGTCACGGCCAGGTTTCACACCCCACACCATCCTCCTCTTCCTACTTCTCCTTTACCCCAGCACATCTGCGACAAAGACATCTCCGGGAGGATGCACAGAGCATCTCTCACGGATCTTAGCAGAGCTCTTCCCCATCCTTCTCACGGGAGCACTGGAGGAGGAGGAGGAGCAGGGACCGCTCTCTTTCCCCTTTGTCCCGAGGGCAGCAGAGCCCAGCGGCTGCAGGGGAAAAGCAGCGAGGATGGAGCGGGGGGGACGCCGCTGCCCCCGGGAGCGGCTGCGGGGAGGGGTCAGCCGGACAAAAAGCGCTACCCTGCCACGGAGCGTCCCAGGGACAAGCGGGACACGCGTTCGGGGAGCTGAGCCCTCGCCAGCACCGCAGAATTACCGCTCGGTTTTGCAGCCCCGTGCCCGCCTTGCGCAGGGATGCTCGCAGCGCGGCGGGAGGAGGGGACAGGACTCGGGATGGGACACGGGGACAGCAGAGCCCTGACCTCCCCACGCCCAGGATGCTCTGCCCGTCCTCACCCTCCACTCACCTCCACAGCCCCTCGGAAGGGGAAACTGAGGCACGGACCGGGGCGCGGGGAGGGACCGGAGCTGGGCGCTGCCGGGCGATAGCGAGCAGGAAACGAGCTCCGGCTCGGCGAGCAGCGGCCGCCGGCCCGGCCCTCCTCTCCTTTGCCCTCCCCTCCTCGCCTTCCCCTCCCCTCGCCCGCCCGACCCTCCCCCGCGGCCGGGGGGACCCGGGCCGGGCGGTGCCGGGACAGGGCGGCCCCCGGGCCACCCCTCTTTGTGCCGCTGCGGATGTCGCGCCGGAGGAGCGGCGGGACGAGCGGCACAGCGCAGCCCCGCCTGGGCTTTCTGTATTTTTGCGTGAGAAACCGGACTTTTCGCCGAGCAAACGAAAAGATTTGGGTGATGAAGCCAAGCCGCTTCACCCCCTTCGCACTGCGCCGACAGCGGCCAGGAGGGCGCTGGGGACACCGGAGGATCCGGGGGGGTGTGGGGACACAGGAGGGTGCTGGGGACACCGGAGGAACCGGGGCGGGGGTCCCACCCAGTGCCAGCTCCGGACCCCGGCCACCGCAGCTCGCGTGGAAACTTCGGGGGTTGTTTCCATTTCGCCCGTGTGGGGACGGTCCCGGAGGGGTGAGGGTACCTTGGGGCGGGCGGGGGAGCCCCCGGGGTCCCCGAGGATCGCCGCTGGCCGGGCGCTTTTGGGGTTCCTGGTGGCGGCGTGCTCGGGGTGCTGCCGGACATTTGCGGTGTGGGGTGACACGGCCAGGGGGCCGTGACGCACGGGGACAGCTTGTCAGAGGCTGTGGCCGGTGACTCAGGGACACGGGGCGAGCTGGCGAGCGGGCGTTGTCACGTCGGTCACCCTGAGTCACCCGTGGCGCTGCCGGCGGCGGTGGCCAGCAGGGCGAGCAGCCCGGCACCCCCATCTGCAGCCCCCCCGAGCCTTCCTGGGGATCCCGGTGCTGGACCCCTAGAAGGACAGCTCGGCCGGGCCGTGCTGGTCCCTGCCAAGCCCCCGGCTCCGGGTGCAGTGGAGCCCACCCGTGTTTCACGGGAGCTGGGGCGGACACGGAAACGGGGAGGGTGTGTGGAACGGAGCGGTCGGAAAGAGCTCCCTCTGTTTGTGAGCCCTTCGTGGTGCCGTGGGAAAGGCTGATCCGTGCCTTCCAGCCCAGCGCTGTCCCCCGGGCAGCAGCAAAGGGGCGTTAGGTGCGAATTACAGCCGGGACTGAGGGCATGAGGGATGTGGCTTTAGAGCCCGGGCTGTCCCCAGCGCAGGGGATGTGTGGGAGCACATCTGCACCCCTCGATGTGCTGAGAACAGGCAACTCACAGCATCAGTGAGAGCTGCTGCAGCTCCCTGAACTCTTCATGGTTATATGGAGGTGCCACCAGTCCTACCTTAGATCCTACCCCCTGCTCCGTCATTAAAATTCCCCCATTTTTCCTCCCATTTTATTATTCTAGGGGTTTGGTGTTTTGGGATGTGGGGAAGGAGCAGAGGTGCCTCTGAGCTGCCCCTCCCTGGCCCAGCTAGGCCTTGGATGATGCTGCAGACTGCACCCGCTGCAGCTCCAGGGCACGGACGAGGAGGAGGAAGGCGATGCTCAGGAGAAGCAGCCAGAAGAAAACCCAGTAGTGCTGTGGGAAGGAGAGCCATGGACGCCAGAGCTCCGCTGCAGACCCCTTGGACCTGGGGAGAAGGTGACCAGGGACCCTTGTCATCCGTGGGGGAGAGCAAAGCCCACCTCCACCCCACCTGGGGACGAGGAGGACGTTTAACAGCCCCAAACCTCACTGCCCTGTTACAAACCCAAGTGAACAAGCCTGAGGAGGGTATGAGCAACATCCCAACCTTCCACCACTAAATCCCCCAGCCCCTGCCCAAGTGCTGGGGACCACAGAGAGGCCAGCAGCCGTGGGGGGATGCTGGGCACACGCAGGGTGCTGCTCACGTCAGCCCGAGCTGCTCCGGCTCCTCGTTCCCCGCGCTCGAGCCTCTGCCATCTGCCTCTGCCACCAGCTTCCCTGTCACGGCACTGTCCTGGCCCTGGGGCTCCAGCTCTCTCCTGGGGAGGGAGAGGACGGGCTCAGTGCTGTGCCACATGGGCCATGGCAGCAGGTGCCACACGGGCCATGGCAGCAGGGCCACGGCCACCCAGCACGGTTACCTGTGGGTGCTGGGCCAGCGCTGGGCCCCCTCGGGCTCCAGGTCACCTTCTGGGGCTGCTGGGCTCTCAGGGCTGGCACCTGGCTGGGCACCCAAGGCGGGAGCATCAGTGGGGACACGCAGTGGCAGTGCCAGCGAGGCTGGGGCCACAGCTGCTGGCTGTCCCCACCGAGCACGGCCTTACCAGGAGCTGCTTGGGGATGACGGCGATGCTGACCCTGCGGCGGGCAGAGCCCTGCAACAGAGGGGCTGGGGGTGAGCCCTGTGCGGCTGCTTGTCACCTCCTCCTTCCCCATCACCTCCCCAGCACGGCCAAGGGACACCACGGGACACTGCCAGCTCCCACTGGGGCTAAGAGGGGAAGCTGGAGAGCCAGGGAAGGTCAAAGCCAAGAGGTTTGTGCCTGTCACTACTGCTGCAAGCTGTGCTGGTGGGGCTGGTGACCCCCTCCCCTGCCCCTGGAGCTACAGGGGGATCAGTGTTGGATTCAAGCTGGTGCTAAAAAACAGCCAAGGCTGTGGGTCTGGCACTGTGACCCTCAACAGAAGGATCTGTACAGGGGGATCAGTGTTGGATTCAAGCTGGTGCTAAAAAACAGCTGTGGGTCTTGCACCATGACCCTGCAACAGAAGGATCTGCCTGAGATCTCTTGCACAGACAGCCCTCAGCTTGCTGGGCATCCTGTCTGTCTGCCAACAGCCCTGCGAGGCTGCCCCTGCATTGTTGCAGCCCAGCAGATCTTCCCTGCAGCAAGCAGCTGGCTGCAGTGACATTGTTTGGGACAAGTGGGTGTGTGGGGACAGCCAGGTGAGGGAGGGCAGCAGGGCAGGGGGGGCAGTGGCTCCAAGACTCCTGAACTGGGACCAGTTACCTGCTGGAAGGTTCTCTTCAGGGGGTGAGGTCTCAGCCGTGGCTCCACATCATCTGAGAGCAAAGAGAAGCTGCCTTACGTCATCCCCATCACTCAGATGTGACAGAAGGTCACAAAGCTCCTGAAAGCTGTCCTGGCCATGTGCTCTGTGCTTGGCACAGGTGGTGCCCCAGGCAGGGGGACATGGTGCCATACCCACAGTGGCACCTGTGGGGTTTGGTGCTCAGGAACAGAGCCCTTTCTGTGCAGGGGCCCCCCTGCCCTGCATTCCCAGCTGGGCTGTGGCTCTCTGGCCACCAGCACCTGCTCCCACACCGATCTGCTGTTCCGCTGTCCCCTCACAAGTGCCACCAGCTGTTCCCTTCACCACGCCACCAGCAGCCCTCAACCCACACTGGCTGTGTGGTGCAGGTCACACTGACCCCCGAGGGGCTCGGGACCGAGCCCTGCAGGGTGCCAGCCCTGCCCAGGCCCCGAGGCAGAGCCCACCTCACCCTGGGTCTCTGCCAGCTGCCGGTTGCGGGAGTTCTGCTGGATCAGGCGCTTCATCTCCTCCAGCTCCGCGTGCTCCCGCTGGTGGTGCCGCTTCAGGTTCTCCACGTGCTGCACCATCACCTCTGCTGCTCGGCTCATCCGGGCCTCCTGCAGCCACGTGGGGACGGGGATCAGGGCCCCTAAATCTCCTAAGGAGCAGCTCTCTGCCAGTCCCTCCCCGTGCCTCCCCCCAGTAGTGAAGGTGCATCCCCTGGGGGCAGGTGGATGGATCCCTCACACCCTGGAGAGCACAAACACGAGGTCAGGGAGGAGGCACAAACCCGGCAAGCTCAGGGATGAGTCCCCAAGCCAGTGTGCAGCCCCTCCATCACTCCCAGCCCTGGGCTGAGCACTCACCTGGTGCACAGCCCCCAGTTTCTCTGCAGCACTGGTTGCCCGCTCAACAGCCGCTGACAGCACGGCCAGGTTGTGCTGCAGCTGCTGCAGCGTCTCCTTGCAGCCTGCACTGGCACAGCACTGGCCCAGCCTCTGTGGGGGGAAAGGAAGGAGCTGCTGCAGCTGCTGGAGCTGGCACTTTGAGTTCTCCAAACCCCTCTGGGGTGGGTGATGCCAGCACGTGCCAGCCCCGTGCCCTGGTGCCCACCTACCTCCAGGGCAGCCCGGCACTGCCCCAGCTCCTCCTGGATGCTTTCCTCTGCTGCATCCCGTGCCCGTTTCTCCACCTGCACCCGCTGCTGCAGGGTGAACACGTCGCAGCGAAAAGCCAGGGCGAGGTGGGCAAAGGCTGCCTGCGGGGTGAGGGCAGAAGAAAAGCCACCAGGGCCGTGCGCTGCTGTCCCCAAGGCACAGACAGCCCTCCCAGCGTGCCACCAACCAGGGCAGTGCTGAAGATGATTAGCACTTGCCTTGCCCCAGCACCCTTAGGCTGCTGCCTGCTGGGGACAGTCCCTGAGATGCCAGCCCGGGGGTCCCCCAGGCAGCTGATAGCGTCCCCCAGGCAGCTGATAAGGCACGGAAATCTTGATCCCTCCTGGCAGGAGCAGACGCCAGCCCTGGCTGCGGCTCCTGGCTGGTGGCTGAGCCTGACTCAGCCCTGGCACTCGCAGGGAAATTGTTTTTATTAGCGAGGCTCCCGCCGCCTCCCCGGCTAAGGGCGCTCCTCAGCAGCTGCAGAGCACTTTGTGGGCACGCAGAGGACACGCTCATGGAAATGCAGCTGCCTCCAAATGCCAAAAGCATCTCTGGGAAAGGGTTGGGGTGGCTGCCAGGGGCCTGCGCTGCTGAAGGAGCAGGGCACAGCCAGCACGGTGAGCCAGCACGGTGCCTGTCCTTGTGTCCCCTTGCCCAGCCCACCCACGGCCCCCAGCAGCCCTCACCTCCAGATCCTGCTCGGCCAAAGCTGCCCTGCAGAAAGAGAAGTGCTGTCAGGGGTGGGGGCATCATGGGGGCTGCATGCTGCAAATGCCCCTGCCCTGCTCCCAGGGGTGCCAGCCACCACGAGAGGTGGGAAGCCAAGTGCCCATCGTGTGGGCAGCAGCTCTTGTGCAATGGAAAAGGAGGAAAGTCCAATCCCTGAGCCCTGCTGTGCCCTGGGACCCCCCTGGCCTGCAGGTGCTCACTGGTCTTACCTGTGCAAGCCAAGCCTGTCCAGCACTGAGAGCTCACTGGGGACACTCAGCAGCGGCTCCTCCAGGGTTTCTGCACCTGCAGGAAGGCAGTGGGGCCACAAGAGACCCACATGAGGGCTTTCCCTGGGCCTTCCCCCCTCCCTCTGCCCTCCTGTCCTAGCAGGGGGTGCTGCCCATGTTTTGGAGCCATCCCAGTCCTTCCCCAGCATCAGGGGGGCTTTATCCCCTCCCAGGCCAGTGTCCCCTTCCCAAGTCCCCACCAGGGCAGGTGACCCTCACCAGAACACGTTCCCATGCTCACCCCCAGCTACTTCAAACCCCAGCTGGGATGTGGGGTGGGGACTCACCCACCTCCTCCAGTCGTGTCACTGTCCCCAGGGTGCACAGGCTGCTCCTGCACAGCCCTGCCTGGCTCCTGAGAGGAACAAAGGCTCTGTTGGGGCAAACCTGCCCCTGGTGCTGCACAGCACCCCCAGAAGAGCAGCACAGAGGGGCTGGGGCCTGCCTGAGCCCAAGGAACCAGGCAGGGTTTGTCCCCCACTGTCACCTCTCTCTCACCTCGCTGACTTGCTCCTCGCTCTGCTGGCTGCTGGCCAAAGCCCCAGCCGGGTGTCCCTGGGCACTGCTCATCCTGCCTGGGGACAGAAAGGCTGCTGGGACAGCAGGGACCCCTCCCCAGCCTGACACCGCTTCAGAGAGACCCCCAAAACTGCCAGTGGCACCTCTGCAGGCTCCCAGGGGACGTCAGCTGGCAGGTACCCCCCAAAAATCCCGGTGGGATTGAGGGAGCTGGAGTTCAGCTGGGACGGGTCAGGGGGAGGAGGGCAGTGGGTGCACAGGGTGGGCTGCAGCCCATGAGGCAAATCCAGGGGATGGGGCTGGGGTCCCGGGGCTGGAAGGGGTTGCAGGCAGGTGCTGCCAGGCCAGGAGACACCCTCCTGCTGCTCGGGGAGGGAGGGAGGGTGGAAACCCCACCCTTGTGACCCCATCCCCGCCTGGGCTGCCCTTACCTTCATCCGGAGCTGGAGGGAGCCCGGCCAGCTCTGCCTGCTGCTCCCTGTGGAGGGAATCCCGGGTAAACCCTACAGAACCTCGGGAGGCACCGGCAGCATCCCACTCCCCACGCTGCCCCGGCTCCCTCCACGGGGCTGCTCCGGACCTGGGTGCTTCCCGAGCATCCTCCACAGCCCGCTCCGTGCCCGTCCCGCTGCTGCCGCCGCAGAGCCCCACGGAGGACCCGCCGGAGCCGCTTCCAGCCACAATGAGTCACCAGCCTCAGCAGTGTTTTTTTTTTTTTTTTTTTTCTTTTTTTTTTTTTGCTCTGGCTGCCAAGCGGACCTCGCTGCGAGCCGGCCTCTCCCAGCACCACAGCACACCCGGAGCCCAGGCAGGCACCATCTCACAGCACAGCACCCCACGGGGGTGGCAGGCCACCCTAAAAGTGCACCGGGGCAGATTTATCACCCCAAAGCCCAGCCCTGGGGTCTGGCAGCTCTGCAGCATCCCTGCTCACTGCTGCTGATAACAGGCCACCAGTGCCTGGAGACACAGGGGCTGCTGTGCAAAGAGCCCAGCACCCAGCTGGGAGAGGGGTTGAACCCCCAAACTTTGGGGAAAAGCTGCAGCAGAGCTTCTCCCTCTCCTCCTGCCCAGCCTCAGAGCAGTGGCTGCAGGAGGATTTTGCCACCGTGACAAACGACGCTCAGCGCCCCTTGCCTGGCTCTGCCACCGCTGCCCCATCCTTGCCGGCACCCCAAGAGCCTCTGGGGGGAGCTTTTAGCGCACACACCTGCGGGGTGAGGGGCTGGCTGGGCAGCTCGCCCGCTGCCGCTGCCGCCGCCGGCGCCCCGGGGCCGCTCCCTGCGCCCCCTCCTCGCCCGGTCCGGGGGGGTTCCCTTCCAGCGCCTTCATCTGGGCAGCGCAGGGGCTCCAGGAGCAGCTCACCTATGGCGAGAGACCCACGTTAGCTGCGCGGAGATGGAGAACGCCTCGAAATGTTGCATTTTTAAAGGGTTTTCTCACCCAGCGGGAGCTTCGAGCTCCCGTGCTTAGCGTGGAGGCATCAGCGGGAAAAGAGGTGGGGAGGCCCGCTGGGGTTCGGGAGGAGCTGGAGGGATCTGGGCGGGCATGGAGTGAGGCAAATGGTAAATTTTAGAGGGTGGACTTTCCTGCTTGCAGCCCCCGTTTCCTCCCCCCGGGGCAATCCTCATTTTGGGTTTGTGGTGCGGGGCAGCTTCTTGGGGGGAGGTGGATTTGCAGCAGCCCCTGCTCCCCAGGCTGCAGACACGACAGTCCCTGAGCTCCCAGAGAGACAGATAATAAAGATTTCCAGATGTAAGGGGGCTTGGAGAAGCCATTTAAGCTGTTTTACAGTGTTTAGAGGACCAGAGAAGGATGCAGGAAGCCCACAAAGTCCCTCTCCCAGCCCAGGGTGAAGTCGCTGTGCACAAGGGGCTGTCCCGGTGCTCATGGACACACAGATTTAGGACAGAAGGAGAAGTTTTTGTCCAGGACAGGAAATGCAGGGGAGACCTAGGGAGCAGGGAGTGCCTGAATCCCACGTGCCTGTGCAAAGCCTCGGCCAAGCTCAGCATCCCCAGCTCCCACCTCTCAGCTCCGATGGAGGTGTAAAAAGCAGCACTTGGCACCTGCCAAAGCCAGCCCTTTTCACACCTATACAGCGGGAATTATCGCTGGAACCTCCCCCCAGGGGCTCAGGGCCCCCAGCCAGGCGGGATCAGCCAAACTCACCCCAGCAGCAGCAGCAGAGCGCTGGGTAGGGCTGGTCCCTGCTGCAGAGCGCTCAATCCATCACAGCCCTGCCGGCTGCTGCTCCCACAGCCTCACGGCCACTCTCTCCTTACCTTCGTGCCACGGGTGGAAAATATCCCAAACCCGCAGCTGGTTTAGCACAATGAACCCCCTGAGATGCCAGAGCGGCCTTTCCCTCAACTCAGCGACCACCAAACGCTCCGGGGACATCTTTACCTGCCTGAGCTCCTCCCGAGCAGCCGAAGGCAGGTCCGGGCCCCCAGCTCGGAGCCGGCTCTCAGCTCTGCCGGGCCCCCATCAGCCCGGCCGGGCTCGGGGCTCGGGGCTCGGGGCGGCCCCGCTGCCTCCCGCGGGCACAGCGGCCGCATCTGCGGCGCTCGGAGCGCCCGGGGCCGGCCCGGGGAGAGAAGCCCTTTAAAGGAGATGCGTGAGAGCGCCCGGAGCTCCCCGCGCCGGCCAGGGCGGGCAGATGGCCCGCAGGTGGCCGGGAAACCTCTGCTTTTGGGGAGGAGCCGGGTCCTGCACCCGCTCCGGAGAGGGGCAGAGCCGGGGGACACCGGGACTGCTGTCCTGGCAAAGCCGGGAAACACCGGGACTGCTGTCCTGGTAAAGCCGGGAAACACCGGGACTGCTGTCCTGGCACAGCCGGGAAACACCGGGACTGCTTTCCTGGTAAAGCCAGGAAACACCGGGACTGCTTTCCTGGCAGAACCGGGAAACACCGGGACTGCTGTCCTGGCAGAACCAGGAAACACCGGGACCACTCCTACCGGGACTGCTTTCCCGGTAAAGCCGGGAAACACCGGGACTACTTTCCCGGTAATGCCGGGAAATACAGGGACTGCTTTCCTGGCAGAACCGGGAACACCGGGACCGCTCCCTCCGTGCCCGGTGCCGGCGGAGCTGAGCCTCAGCATCCCCCGGGCAGGAGGCTCAGGGCAGCGTGGGACAGTGGGGACAGATGGGGGATCCCCCCGAGCTTTCGTGGGGTATAAAACAGATATAAAATATTTCCAGATATCAGGGGGCTTGGAGAAGCCATTTAAGCTGTTTTACAGTGTTTAAAGGATCAGAGAAGGGTGCAGGAAGCCCACAGAGTGCCTCTCCCAGGCCAGGGAGAAGGCTCTGTGCACAAGGGCACAGCACCGGGTTAAACCCAGCACCGGGCTAAACCCAGCACCGGGTTAAACCCAGCACTGGGCTAAACCCAGCACCAGGCTAAACCCAGCACCGGGCTAAACCCAGCACCGGGCTAAACTGGAACAGCTGATGAGGAGCCCCTGCAGCATCGTGTTCAGTGATGCAGGGGAGCTGCTCTGCCAGGACCCCCATCCCTGCTGCCCCTCTCAGCAGCCCCGGCCACCCCCCGCTGCCCCCAGCCCTTTGCTGGGATCCATCACCTCTCCAAAGCCGCTTTATTCCCCTAATGAGCTTACAGTGGGTCGGGTTCCACCTTCAGCCCTACCCGGGGCTGCTGCTGCTGCACCCCCCCGTGCCCAGGGGCCCCTTGGGGGGCTGCAGACCCCTCCAGCCCTGAGGGGGCAAGCAGCATCTCCCAGGTTCTGCCACGGTGACAGCCCAGAGTGCAGCCCCCGGTGACAAAGCAGGGGCAGTGGAGGTGGGGACACCTCGCAGAGAGCCCCAGCTTCCCCCCCAGGGGCAGCAGCTGGCACACCAGGCTCCGTGGGGCACACAGAGCCAAGGACACCCGGCACTGCTGCCTCTGCTCCCTCCCACACCCACAGAAAAATTCTCCTTGTGTCCTAAACCTGCACGTCCATCAGAGGAGGCAATGCCCCTGCTCACCAACAGCCTCTAAAATAATCTAATAAAGCACGCAGGGATTTTTAGGCAATCTCATTTTTAAGCTGGCAGCAGCTAAATCGTGGCTGGGAGCTATGGCAGAGCCCCCAGGCAGGAAAAGCAGCCCAGTTCCCCTGGCACTGACCTGTTCAGCGGGGAGGAAGCAGAGCCTGCAGGGAGATGTCCAGCCCAAGGGGTTGGGGGGCAGCATGTGGCTGCAGCTCTGGCCCCTGTGCTCCTTCCAGGGCACCTGAAGCTGAGCTGAACTCGCAGCTCACATCCCACTGTGGTCATCTGGATTATTCACTGCTTGGGAGAAAGCTGCTCAGCTGCCCCTGACTGCTGCCACTGATGCAGCAAGCTGATTTACAGGTCTGTGCAGGGGCTCAAGCACAAAACAGCACCCCAGCCCTCCCTCAAACCCACCTTTCTGAGGCCCTGGCTGCCCTAGCTGACAGGAACCTGGCAGCCACCAGGCTATCCCAGAGAGAACACAATTCTTGTCTTATGATTAAAAGTTTGTTGGCAAAAAAAACCCCAAAAAACAACCCAAAAAAACCCCCAAAAACAACAAAAACAAAAAAAAAAACCAACCCATAACAGACAAGAAGGAAAATTGCTCTTCTTTTTTATTCAGTTTTAAACCCCAAGTGAAAAAATATAAATATTGCTGGGCCTCCCCCAGAGCAGTTCAGGCTCACATTTGGGTGTCACAGCCCCCAGGTTTGCAGGCAGAACTGCAGCAGCATGCTGGGGATTACAGGTGAGATAAGCAGGCTGTACTGGATGCACAGTTACCCCAGGGAGAAGTGGGGGGACCCCTGGCACTGCAGGAGGGGAAACAGCAACAGCCTGGAGCTCCTGTTTGGAGAGGGGCAGCCCCTGGGGGATGGACACAGGCCATTTTGGAAAGCCCCTGAGTTCCAGCCCTTTCCAGCCAGGGGCTGCACGGCCCAAGGTCCCTGCATGGCTCTGGTGCCTGGTGTTCAACATCCACAGACCCCAGAGCCTTGTGTGAACCCCAAAGAGGCTCAGTGCTGCCCGAGCACAGCCCCAGGAGGCACCTGGGCATGCAGGAATCATCTTGCCATGAAACTGGCTCAGAAATCCCTGTGCAGGGTGTGGAGGCAGCAGAGTGGACAGACAACAACAGACAACTGCATACGATGAATTTCCTTCCAAAAAACCCCGAGAACTACGAGACCAAAAAGGGAAATCCCCTCTGAAACGTGAAGTAAAACTCTGCAAACAGAAGAGGAAGCAGGTGGGGAACCACTGCCAGTGATCACAAGTAAACTGGATGGAAATCACACTCTGCCTGCTACCTCCAGCCCAGGGAAGGTCTCAGACAAAGCTTCAGACCCTTCACCACCACTGCTCCTGAATCAGGACAAGGACAGAGCCACTCCTGGCACTCCTGCCACCCTTGGCCAAGGATCTGCTGAATATAAAATCTGGCTGGTGGTTTGTGCTGCATCCACCTCTCTGAGCTGTCCAGGATGGATTCTGAAATTCCTGCAAGGGTCAAGAGGAGTCAAAAGTGGAATTTTCTGTGCTGCCCACCTGCAGGTAAACAAGCAGTGTTGCAGCAGCACGTGCAGGGTGCCCAGGGTGTGCTGCCAGCCCTCCTTCCATGACTGCTATCTGCATGAACACCTCAGAAGAGCCCACAGCACACGACAAGCTGCAGCCAAGAGCAAACCCAGGGCTAAGAAGGCTCTTGCCACAAGGCCGTGGCCATCTCCATGTGAGCAGCAGCCACAGCCAGGCACAGCACTGGGGACAATGACACCGAGGTCACTCAGTGGAAGCTCGGCAGGGAAGCTGCAAAGATCAGAGCCTGCTACCTAATAAAGCCAGAAGAGCAGGCTTAGACCTTGATGATCGTGGCACAATTTCTATTTATGTCGTGTTTTGGGCAGCCCTACAATAGCTTCACTTCACTCAGCCACTAACTCGCTGGAATGCAAACACATCAACAAGCTGGCTCCCTGGAGGTTTCCATCCTCCACTAATGCGGGCTTTGAAGCCTCATCAGCCCACTGTCACCTAAAATAGCTTAAGAGATTCTTACATAAAGAAACCTGGCTCTCAGCCTTAACAGTGTCACCTAATGCCTCAGAGTTTCCTTCCTCTGGCTGGGATCTAAACACTATTGAGCAAACCTGGAGCAGTCACACCTGAATGTTATAACTCTCCTTCTCCCTTTGTGGATGTTTATGGATTTTTAAACAGCTCCTGAAATATGCAATGCTTCAAAACCTCACTGAAACCCCAGCTCTACCTGCCTGAGTCTCCACTCTGTCCCAACCTTTTCTTCCCAGTTCCCAGAGCAGGAGGTGCCTAGATGAGGTTTCAGTGGGTACTTTCAAGAATACAGGATAGAATTTTGAGCAGTCGTGCCACACAAGCACTGTTAGGGCCATGAGAAGTGTCACCATCACCAGAAATGTGGCACACACAGCAGGGCCCCTCACGTGCCAGGCAAACAGGAAAGAAGGGTGGATTTAAAGCAGAACACTCAAATTTCCCAGCTAAATTCAGCTGGAATTCAGTTAAATCCCACTCTCCTGCACGCAGAGATGTGTAAATCCCAGCAGATCAGATCCACAAAGCAGCACAGCCTGCACCATGGGAGCAGGAATGTGGATGTGCATGGAACTCGTGCCTTGGAATGAGCTGAGGTCAAATGGAGACAATGAACTAAATCCAGAATTATCAGCTTCGTGCAGCCTCAAATCAATGTCTGCCCTGGTTCAGTGAGGGTTTTGGGCAGTGAGAACTCAGCACCTGGAAGCTCTGCATGGGCTGTGTCCTGCCTGGCCCCCAGCACAGGAGGGCCAGGTCCCCTCGTAGGGTGGCAAGCCCAAGGGAAAACACACAGAAACACCTGGAAACACATGAACTGTGAACCTGGAAACACACGAAAACACACGAAAACACATGAAAACACATGAAAACACATGAAAACACATGAAAACACATGAAAACACATGAATTGTTCAACCTCCAATCCCCAGGGAGCGTGGGGGGCTGGGATGGCACTGCCAGCAGGAGCCCCCCATGCCAGGAGGCCCTGGGGGGGAACAGACCCCCTCACAGGGTCCCACCTCACCCAGTGAGGGGTGGCTGTGGCTGCTGCTGTGCAAGGAGTGTCCTCCACACCAGGAACCTGCCCCCTCACGGTTCCTTCGGGTGGTCACCTGATGAAAGACAAAAATCAGGAAGAGGAAAGCCCCTGCCATGCCCACCATGCACAGCTCTGCCACGGCAGGAGTGGCACCCTCTGCTTCCCCACCCTGGGACACCCCGGGGTGCTGAGCCTGCTGTGACAGGACCCCTGTCCCCCCTCTCCTGGCCCCTTCCAGCACAGGGACCCCTGTCCCCTCTCACCTGGCCCCTTCCAGCACAGGGACCCCTGTCCCCTCTCACCTGGCCCCTTCCAGCACAGCCTGCAGAGATTTCTTCAGCGCCGCCGTGCTCCGGTCCAGGACAGCAGCCAGGCTGCTCCTGTGAGCTGGGCTGACCTGGGATGGAGGCAGCAGCAGCTCAGGGCCCTGCCCTGCCAGGAGCCCAGCTGAGAGGCCTGGGCTGGGCCCCAGGAGCAGCAGGAGCAGCCCTGGCCGGGCTCACCTGGCTCTGGCACACCGTGAGCACGGCTGTCACCAGCCTGGCGAAGCTGAGTGACGTGGAGAAGGCTGGAGCCTGCTGGCACAGAGTCAGCACCAGCAGATCCAAGAGCTCAGCGGGCAGCACCTCCTGGAAAAGGGCCAGGAGCAGGTAGGAGAGTGCTCCAGCACTGCTGGAGTCACCAAGGACACCCGGGGGACAAGGTGGGCTCCTCACCTGCCGGCCCAGCACGGCCTGCAGCACTGGCAGCAGTTTCTCTGACAAAGGCACCTCCAGGACGTGGCTGGAAGGACAGTGGAGGGGAAAGGTGGCCCTGCTGGTGCCCCCAGATGGCTGCACCCACCCAGGTGAGGCCAAGGCAGAGCTGTCACCCCTCACCTCAGCAGCAGCTGCACAGCGTGGGGCTCCAGGCACTCCTCCACGAGCTCACACATCAGCTTGGTCTGCTCAGCACCTGCAGGGCCAGAGCAGCAGGGGAGAGCCTCCAGAGGCTGCCAAACCCACGGGGATGTGCCAGGCCCTTCCTGGCACCTCTTCACTGGACTAAGTGCCAGTCAGCACAGGCAGAAACCATGCAGTGCCCCCTTCTACTGCTCAGGATAATCCTGCTCCCTTTGCCCAGCTGCAGTAAGGGTTTAAACAGCAGCAGCCTCTGGGAAAAGGGGATGCCACTGTGCCAGGGGCTCACCCTCTCCTCCCTGGGGCAGCTCTGCCCTGAGCATCAGGAGCTGCCAGGAGCCCTTTTGGGAAAAAATAAGCCAGAAGCCAGCCTAACCAGCCCTCCCCCTCCATCTCAGGCACCTGTAAACCCATCTCCCATCCCAACCCCAAGTGTTTGCCTGCCCTGAAAAACCAGCCTGAGGCCTCCATGGCTCCTAACACGTGATAAATGCCCCCAGGAAGCAGCACTCTGCAGCTGGGGCCCCCTCCAGCTCCCACCAGCCCAGCACACCTTCCCCTGGCTCCTGCAGCACTGCAGCCACCAGCACACGGCACAAGGGATGGGAGTACTTGGAGCAAAACGCACTCAGGGCAGCCATGAGGTGTCGGGAAGGCGGCTGGGAGAGGGACAGGACCTGGGGACACAAAAGGCAGGAGGTGGGGACAGTGGAGAGGGGAACGGGGAGCAGGGAACTCCCCTGCCATGGCACGTACCCGCCTGAGGAAGAGCTGCTCTGCCAGGATGGCTGCGCTGGTGTAGCTGAGGTCGGGGCTCAGAGCCAGCAGCCAGCTGCAGAAACGCACCAGGAGGGGCTCTGGGCACGTGGAGAGCTGCAGGAAGGAGCACAGCCCCTCGAGCTGGGGTGGCACAGGGCATTAGGGACAGCAGCAGGCCCCCTGCAGCAGCTGCAGCAGCATGCTGGGGCTCACCTGGCTGGGGCTGCAGCTGTTCAGGATGCTCAGCTTGGGTGGGGGGTGCAGCTCCGAGTGCTGGAGAGAAACACTGGCCTGAGTAATGCACCAAATAAACCAAAATACAAAATACAGCTCCAGGCTTCTCCCTTCCCCCATCACTGAGCCCACAGGCAGCCCCTCACACCTGCAAGGTGCAGGCAGGTGTTGGTATCCCAAGCACAGAAAAGGTACCAACAGGGCTTTTTATCCCCATCCAGTTGGCTCTGTGAAATCCACCTCCTTTTCCACCCCTCCCAAAGCCCTGGGGCTGTTTAGAGCATCAGCTCCGGGACAGGGACAAAGCAAACACTTACACTGGAGTCCTGCAGCAGCAGCACTTTCAGGCCCTGTCCATGCACCTGAGGGAAATGGGGTGAAGGAATGGGAACCAGGCTGTGGAGGCTCACTGGCTGCAAGGGGACAGCAAACCCTACCCCATACCTGGACAAAGGACTGGACCTCTGCTGCCAGCTCTGTCTGGGGAACCTTCCTGAGCTCCCCAGCTGCATGCTGCTGGGAGCTGTCCCGAGCAGCCTGGTCCGTGCTCTGAGCAGACGTGTCCCCTGAAGGCTCCTCAGGCACCTCCTCTGCCACATCTCCACATTCCTGGGGCCCCAGGGGCTCGCATGCCACCTCCTCCAGCATGTTCCTCTCTCCCTCAGTGTCCAGCTCCAGGCTCTCCTCTGACACTTTCTTACGCTTCCCACCTTGAGGCACAGAGTCAGGGGCACCAGGCTGCCTGCTGAAGCACCAGGTCAATTTTCTTTGTCCCTCTGGTTTCTTCTGGGCAATTTTCTGGCACAGGCCCCTGAGCTGCTGCTGGCACACAGTAGACAGGGCAGTGGGACGTGGGGAGCCCTCCTCTGCCCTTGGTCCCTGCTGGAGCAGACCCCCCAGAGTCTGCACCCAGGGATCCACACGGGAGTCCTGCCCCAAGGCCTGGAGCAGCTGGTGCAGGCAGTCCCGTGGCACTGCATCCTGCACCACGAGGAGCAGGGAGAAGAGGTTCCTCTGGCACAAAACGGGCAGCAGCAGCAGCCGTGGCTTGCTGGAAAAGGAGAGGTGACTGGTCAGAGCAAATGGCCCTGCCCTGAACCCAACCTGCCCCGTGGAGCAGGGAGCACAGGGAGCAAGAGGAGGCACCTGATGCCTCCAGCAGCTTTTGCAGACACAAGCTGGGACACCATGGGTCACTGCTATGACACCAGTGCACAGGGGGAAGCGGATGTGCACTCCCAAATTGTGCACCTGACACCCAAAACACGGAGTTTTAGACACGTATCCAACTCACAGAGCCAGGGTGTCCTGTGTCCCCTCCAGCCAGGGCTCCTGGGCGCACAGGGCTGCGGCGAGAGCCGGCCAGGGGAAGGGCTGCCCTGGGCCCTGGCGGGGCTGGCCCCGCTGCAGCGCCCGCAGCGCGGCCACGGCCCCGGCCGGGCCCGAGCACAGAGCCTGCAGCAGCAGGCGGCACGGCCGCGGGCACAGCTGCAGCCACGCCGGGCACCGGGGCTCCATCGCCGCTGCCTGCGAGACACGGCACACCGCACACGTCACACGCGTGGGGCACCGGACACGGCACATGGCACACATCACATGCGTGGGACATCGGACACAGGGGACACCACACACGTCACACACGTGGGGGACAGTCACACACGGCACACCGGACATGTCACACGCGTGGGACATCAGACAGGGCACACCGCACGCGTCACGCGCGTGGGACACCGGACACGGCACACACACACGGGGGACAGCTGGACACAGGGGACAGCCAGACATGGTGACACATGGGGAGACAGGACATGCTGAAACACACAGGGGACGGCCGGACTCAGTCACACACATGGGGGCCAGCCAGACATGGCGGCACACACGGGACACAGCTGGACATGGGGGACACACACGGGGGACAGCCGGACACGGATGACACACAAAGGGAAGAGCCGCACACGGGTCACATCCGGACACGGGTCCCACTCGGGAGCACGGCACCATCACCGCCACCAGCCCTTCGCTGCCATCCGCACCCGCAGCCCATCCCGCTGGGGCTGTCCCGGTCCTGCCGTGTCCCTGTCCCGGCCGTGTCCCTGTCCCTGCCGTGTCCCTGTCCCGGCCGTGCCGCCCGCCCCCGGGGCAGCCCGGGCACGCTCGGGGCTGTCCCCGCGCTCTCACCGGCGCTGTCCCCGCGTCCCCGCCCGCTGTCCCCGCGGCGCCGCTTCCGGCCCCACCCCGGGAAACGCAAACGGGCCGCGCGCGAACGAGCTGATGATGCAAACATCCCTCAAATCCCAACCCAAACACCGCCTTCCCCCCACCTCCGAGGGTGGGTCACCCAGACACGGAGCACAGGCGCCAGGAAGCGCAGCGTTACACAACCCGTTTTATTTTGTTATTCCCGGATTTGGCTAAAAAGGGTTTAAAACAGTGCCCCCCTGCTGCCCGGTCCCCCCCTCCCCGTGGATGTCAGACCCCCCCTGCTGCTCCCAGCACCCAGCCCACCCTACCCGTGGGTGTCCCATGGGTGCAGAGTGGGCACCACGGCAAGAGCAGGGGGGCTGTGCCCTGAGTCTCCCCCGGTGCACCCATAAATGCCAGACAGACTGCTGCCCCATCCTACCCCATCCCTGCAGCACCCCACGGCCGGGGCCACCCCAAAACCACGGCAGGAGTCAAAAGAGACGCCGGGGTCCAGGCCAGCAGCAGCACCAGGCCCAGCGTGGTCCCCACGGCTCAGTCGGAGTCGCTGAAGTCAATGAGAAGCAGCTCGTGGCCATAACTCGAGTGGGGAAGCTCTGTCTCCAGTGTGGCCAGGGTAAGAGCCCACTCCAGCGTGCAGAGCTCCTCATCCTCCTCGTCAGAGCTCTCCGAGGAAGAAGGGATGAACACCTGCAGCAGAGGAGGGAGGATGAGCCACACTCCCGGTGCCCAGCCCAGCCCCGGGATGTGCCACCCCACTCACAGTGGGCATCCTGAGCTGCCGCTGCCTGTGCCTCCTCAGCCAGCGGGCAGGCAGCTCGTGCAGGTAGATGCACTCGGATCTGAAAGGGCAGTGGCCACGGAGGAAGAATTTGCACCTGATTTTCCTGTGGGATTCCAAGCACAGCTGTGAGTGTAGCTCCCAGAGTGGCATACAGAGCCCGCAGCCCTGGCACCCGCGGCAGTGCCACGCACTCACCCTGTCCGTGCCTTGAAGGCTCTGATGAGCTTCTCCTTCTCAGCCACGTCTGAGATCCAGTATTTGTGGGGGATGTAGTAACTGGAGGGGATCCGGCACTCCGGGCAGGCCCTGCATGAGGGTGATGGGTGCAGCTGGGTGTCCCAAGAAGGGAGCAGGGAGCACGGGCTCAGCACCCACCCTGGCCTCACCCAACCACCCCGAAGCGCCTGCTCCCAAAGCGAAGCCACGCCAACCCCAAAGCCACATCACCACACCCAAGGAAGACTTTCAGGGCACAGAAGGTGAAGGGTGGCCACCCTGCCGTGTCCCCACGGCCACTCACTTTATGACGGCGCTCTGGAAGGCGCGGCTGCGGCGCCACTTGCGGATGCAGCCCACGCAGTACGCGTGGCTGCAGTTCGGGAGGATGCCGAAGAGCCGCTCCTCGGCCAGCGGCTTCTCGTACACCCTGTCCATGCAGATGCCACACACCACGGCCTCGCTCCGGGCTCTCAGTGCTGCATTGGTGAGCAGGGCTGCCTCGGCTGCTGGCTCTGCAGGGACCTGCAAGCAGAGCAGCACAGCGTGGCAATGCCCGGGCTCTGTCACTGCCCTGGCCTCGGTGACGGGGAGTGCCCAGCCACAGGAGACCCCAAACCCACCTTTGCAGGGTCAGTCCGTGTCGCTGTCTCCAGACCTGCCTCTTTGGGGTCAGAGGAGCCTGGATCCGGTGCTGGCCCTTGTGGCTGGAAGCCTGCAGGAGGAGAGTTCTTAGAGGGGAAAAGCCCACCGAGCTGGGTGGGCTGCTCAGAGCGTGCAGCTTCAGCAGTGACAGTCCTCACACTGCACAGCTCTCCACAGCCCAGCTTGGTCACAGGCAGAAACATGCACAGTCTACTCCACCATAAGCACCCCAGTGCCACCCCACTGGTCCCCTGGGCAGCCTGGCACCTACCTGAGGCACCCCGAGCTTTTGTGGGGACAAATTCTCCACTGATGGCCCCACGGGGGATGTTACCAAGTGCTGGGATGTTCTTCTTGTCTTTCTCTTCCACTTCTACCTCCACCTTGGGGAACTTGAAGGCCACACGCTTCGTGCTGCGGGCTGAGGTGCGCTGGGCTCCCCCCTGGTCCCGCTCCATGGCTGTGGGCTCAGTGCCAGGCTCCTGGCCCCAGTGGCAGTGAGGCATCAGGCCATATTGTGTCCCCACCGGTGCTGGCTCCTCCAGGATGTGCAGGTAGCTGGAGGAGCCCAGGGACAGAGACAGAGGGTCCCATCAGTCCAGCACGGCTCCTCCAGGCTCCCAGCCCATCCTCGTGGCATCGCAGCCCTTCCTCACCTGCACTGCTCTCCATACCGGCAAAAGCCACGCTGGAAGTACCTGCACACCCGGGCTGATTCTCTGTCGTGTGAGAAGCGGCAGCTCTGGCCCCACCGACAGGATCCACGGGCAAAATTCCTGTTAGCCAGGGGAGCAGCGTGGATGGGCTCAGACCCTGCTCCAGCCCTGCCCTGGCATCCCCCCGGTACCAGCTTTGTTTGGTGGGGACATTTTTTGGAGCTCCCCAGGCTGCTGTTGGGATCCCTCGCCAAGGGCAGAGCCAGGGGGTCCTCCCAGCCCCAACCAGCCTGATCTCCTGCTGATTGCCGAGCAGAGGAAGCCCAGGACAGGGCTGGGGGCTCTCCTGGGCACCGAGGGCTGGGGCAGGGAGAAGGGCAGGGGGCTGGCAGGAAGGGGGGCCAGCCTGGAGTTCTGCCGCCCACCCCCAGCTCCGGAGGGGGGTAGGGAAACGGGGCTCAAGGCCACCCCAATCCACTCCCCACAGCCAGGAGCCCCATCTCCAGCCTGCCTCCCCAAACGCTGCTCCCAGCCACCCCACCCTCAAGCCTTTACCTGCACAGGGGTCTCAGGGAGCTTGCCTCGGCCCTAAACGGCCCAGATGCCATCATCGAGCCCACCTCCATCTCTTCCCCGGCACGGAAGAGGGCTGGGCCACCTCCCAGGGCTATTTATGGCCTCGGTGAGCCCCGGGTCCGGCCGGGATCGCTTTCCCCCGGTGGGACACGTGTTTGGGGCGGAGGACCAGCCCTGCTGATAGCTCTGAGCACTGTTTACACTCACTCAAGGACTTCGCAGCGAGGAGCTGCCCTGGGGCACCACCCCGGCGTGCAGCGCTAAATTCCGTGTGTTCTAATCCTTTTAGCATTGCTAGTCCCTCTTCTTTTCACTCCTGTCTTTAGCTCAGCCTGTGGATTTCACTTCTTTCTCAGCTCTCTCCCCCATCACGCTGGGAACGGCTGGATAATGCAATGCTGCCGGCTGGGGTAACCACACAGGGACCCCCGGGACCCCTGCCCAGGGCTCCATGAGCCCCCAGCAGCCTGGGAGAGACGGGGAGCAGTGGAGCAGCTTCCCCCAGAGCGCTCGAGCCGGGCACAGGGGAGCCTGGGGGGTTCTCCAGCTCCTCCTTGGAAATTCTCAGGTGTTTTACACAGCCAAGGACAGCCCGGCTGCCGGCACATGACTGCCCCGGGGCTCATTGTTCCCCTTCTCGCGGTGTTTTCAGCTCATTTCCAGCTCCGCCCGAAACATCTGGAGCAGGAATCCTCCAGGTGAGGCTGGGATCCTGCTCAGGACTGGCTTTTTCTGCTGCTTTAGGTTTGCAGGCAAGAAAACCGCAAATCCGGGAATTACAGAGCCCCAGGAATCACAGCAAATCCCTGGAAATCACAGCAAATCCCATGGCCTCTGCTGGAAATTCTCCCACGGACAGCTACCCCCAGGTGCTGAGAGAAAGCCCACAAAGACAGGCTGGACGCTAAAAGGTTCTTAAATATTTAGTTCAGATTTATTTAAAGTCAAGTCAGTTTGTGGACACTATTTATATTATTAAAAACACTTGGAAGTTTGTACTTCTAGCAAAAATATACATTTCAGTTTGAGGGTTGTTATACTGTCGAGGAAGGAAGAGCAAAAAGTTTCCCAGGTGATGGGCACGAGTCCTGCACTGCCACCGAGGTGGGGACACCACCGGGATTTTGGGAAGGACAAATCCCGGGCTCCGACCAGCACATGCACGTCTCCAGTGCCTTCCCCCAGAGGGCTTCAAAGTGCTTCAGAAACGGTGATTCCCAACACCCCTGCGAGGTAGGGAGGGGAGGGCTGGGCAGGGAAACTGAGGCACGGCGAACTGAGGAGTGTGGCAGCAGGGGGGGGGTTGGGACCAGGCCAGCCCTGTGATGGGGAGGGAAAGCCCAGTGCTCTTCCCCTTTGGGTTTTAAAGGAATTATTGCACCAGGGAAATCTGCTACCCTGAAGAGGAGGAAAGTAAAATAAAAGCGAATAATTTGCTCCCACAAGCCCTCCTAGGGAATATCAGTATTTTAATAAGGCTGCTCAGGACACAGGGGGCTAGGAGCTGCACACAGGGAAGTGTCACTTCTTAGGTGAGACACCATTATCCTGAAAGGGAAACTGAGCCCTTCCTAGGTCCATCCTCCCCCTGCCTAAAGCCCAAGGGACACACCAGGGGCCTGGCCTGGCCCAGGCAGCAGCGTGGTGTTTCACTACAGCTGTGAGAAGTTGTGAGGTAAAGTCCCAGAAGGGTGCTGGGATCAGGCAGACCAAGCCTGGAGCTGCTCCCACCCTTGGGAGCAGTGGCAGAGGGGGACTGGCAGCTTCCCTGACACAGCCACGCTCCCTGGGAGGCTCCTGCTCATTGGGAGCATCCCAGCCACCCCCTCCCTGTTTATAAATCCTTGGCATTTACAGCTGCAAAGCTCTCTGCAACCAATGCACTAACAGATCCTTGTGCTCCTGCTCTGAGCAGGCAGCATGTGACAATCCAGGTCCCTTTCACAGAGGGGAAACTGAGGCAGGACACCAAACCCTGACCAGCTCAAGGCCTCTGACTCTCCACACACCTTTTCTGTAACCCACATCTGTGCAGAGCAGCCTGTGGAAGCCATGGATTCTGTGCCTCTGCTCTGAAGGTGAATTTTAAGGAGTCAAATCCTTTCCCTCCTACTTTCCCATCCCAGCCTCCCCTACTGAGGTGCCAAGGGACACATTCCCTGTGGAATGAGGGTGCCAGGAGCAAAGGCTCCCACCCAGCACCCAGGAAGGCAGAGTTCACACATTGCAGAGCATGGGGGGCTGCAGCTGAGGGTCTCCCCTGGGACAGCCCCTACCCGTGAGCTTTTCTTTGGGAAAGAGAGAAACATCCTTTCATCACACTGTCCCAGACTTCATGGCTCAGGACCACGTCCTTGGAGTGCAAACAAACAAGAGAATACAGATACTCTGTGAGTGCTGCTGTCAGCCCTGCTGGCCCTGCACCCCCAAGGACCAGGGCTCCCCACCCTGGGGACCCGAGGTGCCACAGTGACCTCGCTGCCTGAGCCGTGTAAACAGGGCCACATGAAGGGGAACAGCAGCTTTGCAGATTTGTTAGTGTGTGTTAATGGAAGCCCTGGCTGAGCAGGAGGCACCTGCAAATCCTGATGGCATCTTGCCCTATGTACCGTGTGTCAGGGTCACAGAGAAAAGAATTTCCAGTAGGAGAAATGGAAGACACTGGGAAGGGTTTTCTTTGTTTCTGTACAAAGAGTCTTGATAGGAATCCATGGCTTCATTCTCATAAATAACAGGTCCTTAGTACATGTCCTTGTAGATCTCCTGCAGAAGTGGGTGCAGAGATGTCTCTGTCTCTGTCTTCTTGATCTTCTGCACCAGCTGGGCGTGCTCTGTCACCAGCTGTCGCAGGTCAGCCATCTTCTGCAGCAGCTTGGGGAAGAGGTACTGGGCATCGGGGTGGTTGGACTGCAGGTGGAACTCCAGCGCTCGCAGGATGTTGTCTTGGATCTCCTCCACCTGCTTCACGTTCATCAGGCCAGGGCGGTCTGTGGAGAGGAAGCAGGGGAGCTGCAGGGTCATGGTGCAGGGGAAAGGGAGCCAGGGACTGTAACCCACCCACCATGATTCAGCCTCATCAGCTAGAAAGGGGAGAAGTGTGCTCTTGGACAATGTATCCCACAGCAGCACAAGAGAAGGAGATGCCACTTCTACATTCCTTCCTGCTGGTCCGAGCTTGCCAGGCATCACCTCCACAGAGAAGCTTTGGTTTTGGAAGTGTTCAGTTCTTCTCTCATGCCCCTGAGACATTCCTGGCTGACCTCAAGCCCAGCTGCAACTCAGCTCCCCTAGCCCCCTCTGAACCACCTCTTCCTGACCCTGGCACGGCCAAGGCCACCCGCTCACCTCCACACAGGATGATGGCAGCCACAAACAGGGACAGGTCACTGTCATCCAGCTCCAGCGCGTTGAACTTCACAGCAAACTCAAATTTGGGCTCCATGATCTCGTTGAAGGGCTTGCGCAGGCTGCGCAGGAACTCGCGGGTCACAAAGCCGTTCCCGTTGGCCACCAGCAGCCCATCCTTGTTCATGATGGAGGCCAGCATGGCAAAGATGGCCTCGTGCACCCCGTACTTGAGCAGAGTCACTTGGTCGTTGAGGTAGAGGCCGATGAAGCTGGGGATGCTCTTGGCGAACTCGGTGAGCTCCCGCACGGTCTCCACCGTGGTGCACTGGCAGCGGTAGAAGACGTGCACCCCGATCTCCTTGTAGGGGGGGATGCCATTCACCAGCTGCTTCCACACCAGCCCCTTCTCTGCCTGCCACAAGGTGTCCATGTCATGGATCACAAAAGGCTGCTTGAACAAGAAGCAAGTTAGGAGTGTGCTGTGGGGACTCGAGGTGCCAGCTCTGCTCAGGACAGCTGTGTTTGTCTGCCTATCCCTGTGCCCTGCCTCTGGGGCTGACAGTGCCCAGGTAATCTGCACCCACCCACCACAGCACAAGTGTGCAGAGCAATGGGATTTTTCCCAGCAAGGGGCAGGACATGCAGAGCCCACCTGGCTGCAGGTGACAATGGTGGAACAGCTACAGCAGCATCTCCCAGAGAACAGTCTGCTGTGCTGGCCATGGCCAACCCCGCCTGCCCTAGGAGGGAACTTACTGGGGTGCTGCTGGCCTTGCCGGTCAGGATACCTCTTGCCTTCTTTTTGGTCATGTTGAAATTCTTCAGGTAGGCGTTGTAGATGTGCTTGGAGAAAGCTTTGAGGTCAGCCACCTGTGGGTTCTGGCAGCCGACCTCGCTCGCTGTCAGCCCTGCCACCAGCTTCCTCTTCTCTGCCTCTGGCATGCGCCCAAAGCGGATGGCTGGGGGAAAAACTGGGGGTCAGGACAGCAGGGGGACCCCAGGAGATGCATCCAGAGAGGCAGCAGTTTGTTCTGCCACTGCAGACAGACAGGTCTGCTGGAGAACACCTGCAGCTGCACAACACAATGCTTCTCCAGGCTGCAGTTCCTCCAGCACTAACACCTACACGAAACAGTCACTGCTGCTTCCTCACACCACACTCCCATCCCATTCCTTTGGCTCTTGCTCAAACCCTGCTTCCCACATAAACACCTTTGCTTGTCTGGGTCCAAGATTCTTACACCTGAAGTGTAAAAGTCCCAGCACAGAAGAACAAATTGTGTGTCCAGTTCCCTCAGGGCCAGTCCATAAGGGACAGCCATGTGCCAGCAGCTGCACTGCATGGTGGGAATGAACAGCCCCTTCTCATACAGAAAAAGGGGAAGAGGAGTCAATGCTTGAAGCACTGGATTTCAGTGATCCCCTAGCAAGAAGAGCCATGGGCTAAAGCACAGCAGGCCATGGGCACCCTCCACAGGAGGGCAGCTGGCCCCGTGTCACCAGGTGGCCAGGCCTGGGGGCAGCAGTGACACTCACCATTGTGTGACATGCCCAGCGAGAGGCATTTCTGGAAGCGGCAGTACTGGCACTTGTTTCTGTTCTTCTTCTGAATCTTGCAGCTCCTCTCACACTTCTCGTACTCCAGCTTCATGCGGATCGTCCGGCGGAAGAAACCCTGCAGGCAGGGAGCAGGGGGACATGGAGCTTGGGACCAGGCTGGTTTGTTATCCTCAGGAGCTTCAGGGAGGCTCAGGAGGGGGAGCCCTGGGTCTCTCTGATCTCTCTCAGAGTGTCTATCCCAAAGAAAGGTCATGTGGTAGCAGAAAGGAGCTGCAGAGGAAGAGGTGTGAGGGCACCCCATGCCTGGTGCTGTGACTGTGCCAGCAGCCCACAGAGAGGGATGGAGGAACCAGCTGTGGGCCAACCCCAGCCTGCAGGAATGTCTGGCAGGACCTGGGCTGCTAATGCAACCCTGCTGGATCTGCTGCAGGGGAAAGAATTCCAGAGGAACATCCAAGCTGCAGCAAGTGATCCCAGGAAGATAAATGCACAGCTCACTGCTGATCTGCAGCACAAAAACTATATTTAAAAGCAAACTCAGGGTCCCTATGGGGACAGATGGATTTGCTTTACACAATAAAGGATGACAAGGCAAGGTTTGGGCCACACAGCCCTCTTCCCAGGGCAGCATTTGCTGCCTGCCTATACTTGCCCCATTCTAGCCAGGTTGTGGTTTTTACAATCAATCCCGAATCCCCGTTTTGCTGCAAATCTTGTGTGAGGAGGCAGCCCAGATGCTGGGATCTAAGCCCTGCTTGGTGCTGCTGCACCCAGCTGCCCCTGGGACTCACCTTGCAGCCCTCGCAGGCGTGCACGCCGTAGTGGAAGCCCGAGGCTTTGTCTCCACAGACCCTGCACTCCACGTTCAGCGCTCCCAGCGCCGCCTCCTCGCAGCCCAGCTGCAGCTGGTCCGACAGCGAGGGAGAGGAGCTCTGTGACAGGTCTGCAAACACACACAGGGACATGTCCTCCCATGTCACAGCCACAGGCCCAGCTCTGGCGTGGCCAGCTCCTCCAGCTGTGGGGCTGAGGAGGGATTTCCAGCCCTGTCCTGCCTGCCCCTGGTATCACATCTGGAATCTGGCACTGGCTACGGGCAAATGCCAATGCCATGAACAGAGCCAAGAATGCCCCAGCAGCTCAGACTCCACATCAATGCTCCTTTCTTCCCTATGGCATTCATGTCCTGGCAATGAAACCCCAACCAGAAGATTTTATAATCCCTTGTTGGCCGGCTGCTGGCACAGGGTATCCCAGCTGGAACATCAAGGGCTCTGGAGGAGCCTCTTCTGCATCCACAAACCTTCTCTCCCACCTCCTACAATCACTTTGCTCTGAGGACCTCAAGAAGTGTCAAAGGAAGAATTTCCAAGCACTCTGGGAGGTCTCTTGCTCTGAAGCACAATGTTACCTGCCTGTCCTTTTAATTTCCACTCCAAAACCCATTGCAATGGTTGTGCAGTGACCTCAGAGAAAGAAATAAGCCTCAACAGAACTTGGAGCATTATTTCACAAATGTGAAATGTTCAGTTCAGCTTAACTTCATTCAGGGACAGATCCTCTGCCCTTGCAGCTGAGCATGCTGCCTAGGGACTGTGGGCACCTGGATGAGCTCCTGTGGCTCCACTCACCTGTGTAGCTGCTTGAAGGCAGCGAGCTGTCTGGTCCTCCAGTTGGGTCTGAGGCTCCACTTGCCACCATCACTGCCTCTTCCTCTTCCTCTTCCTTGACCTCAGGTACTTCCTCCTGTAGTTGTTCCATAATTGATCACCCCTCAGTGCCAAGACTGCAATCCCTGTCATAGCTCTGGCATCATCCGCGTCTATCCAAGATGGACCCCACCAGGCTGTTCCTGCTAGCCTGCAGGACATGGAGAGAGGCCACTGAGTGCCTGCACAGAGCAGCTCAGCAGCAGGGCAGTGTCACCAGCCACACCAGTCCTGCTCTGTGCTTGCTCCTCAGCCAGTGAGACATGCAGAGCAGGGCCCGTTTAAAGATCCCTTTGCACTGTGGAATAAACATTCTGTAGGACTCGAGGAAGCAAAGGCTCACAGAATTGTTTTTAAAGCCCAGCAGACCACAAACCAGCCCAGATGCCACCCAGGGATCACGGGTCCCCAGCTTACAAGTCCCCCAGAGCTGCCAGTGACCTGGGATGTGATGACAGCAGCCAGGGCCAGGGTCTGATAGAGCCAACACCTCCAGAAGGATCAAGCTGGCTTCACCCTCTGTCCCTGCCATGGCAGAGCCTGGATTGGGAGCAGCAGCTGATCAGGGCACACTGTGCCCATGGGTGGAAGACACTGGGGCAGCAGGGCTCAGTGCAGCAGCAGGCAGTGGCTAAAAGTCCCTGGTCCATCTGCAAGACTGATGGCTTCCTGTCAGCCCTGCACTCACACTCCTTCCCGTCAGAGTGCTGCCAGTTGCAGCCTTTGTGTTTGTTTTCACTTGGCTCCTCTGCCAAGAGCAGGGCTGAACGTGTTGCTGCTGCTCTGCGCAGCCGCCAGGCCGTGCTCAGCCACGGGGTCCAGCAGTGCAATCCCAGCAGCCACACAATCCAAGCAGTGTCTTAATCCCGGGTTTCCTGTGGGAGGAACGGCCCCGTCCTCCCCCACACACTTCCTCTCCTTGTTTGCCTTACTCCATCCCAAGGAGCCCACAAAAAGCTCCAGCCATCCAAGCGATGCAGCACCGGTACCCTGGCTGTGGCAGAGCAATTCCCACCTCCCTCCCAGCCATGCTGGATCTTGATTCCTAAATGACTCTTCCCTGAATAATTAATACCTCAAGCCCATCTTATGTAAACTTCCATTCACTTCCTTAAGAGAGTTATTTTTAAGTGGAGAAATACCCATCAGGAAAGCCATTGAAATCCAGGTTCAACCAAGAGAGCCTCAATTTGCAGACCCAGATTAAACTAATGCAGGATATTGCAGGGGCCTTGTACAAGGGCAACCCCAAGCTCTGGCATGGTCTGTGCCCCATGCCCAAGCCCACAGCACAACTCAGGGCTTGCTGGGCAAGGGCAGCAGTGACCCAGGACTCCCTGGATTTGTTTGCCCTCACACCTGGCACTTTGAACTTGAGCTGCAGCCAGCTCCTTGGATTGCTGGAAAAACACCAAGGTCAGAGCTCCCTGAAAGAGCAAGGAAGCAGCTCAGGGAGGGAACAAAACCTGCAGGTGGGAGGGTGAACACAAACACATCACAAAGGACACAAGTCACCCCTGGAGCTGGTGCTGTACCAGAGCCTGGGTCTCCTGTGGCTGAGGGGGTTTTATTTTTTCCCTCCACACTGGGAATTCAGACTGCAGGCAGGTGGCTTTGTTTCCAGGTGAGGTACATAAGTGACAGCACACTGCCCTGTGCTCCTTGGCAGCAGGAGCAGGCAGGGGCTGCTCCCTTCCCGTGCCTCCACACGAGCACTGAGGGACCATTGAAGGGCTGTGTTATCCTTGGCCCCTGCTCACACATCCCACGCAGTGGGACATGGCAGACAGGCAGGAAAACTTGTTCACTGGAGATGGAGGGTAATGAACTTCACTGTTTTCAGGGTTATATATATAAATGATCACACAAACATCAGGGAAACACTTTTGCCTGGAAGAGCAGTTAGTGGGGGAAGCTTGTGGCAGGAGAAGCTTGTCTGCAGTGGAAAATCCATCCTGCAGCAGCTTAATGAGCAGCTCATTAGATTCTCCTTGTCCCTGGATCCAGCACAAGCCCCTTGCTTTAAACCCACTGCAGACAGAGCTCTCTGCTTTGCCCCACATGTCTCATGGGTCATGTTGGAATAATGTGGGAACATCCCTGACATGCTGTCCTCCATCCACTGGCTCTGCTCAGGGCCATGTGCTCCCAGGGTGGCAGTGACTTTTTGGCATGCAGTTTGCTCCCCAAAACCCAAAAAATCAACTCTAAAACTGTGCTTGGAGTCAGTCTTGGATGGGTGTGAAGAGGAGGAAAGCAGAGGATGAGACATAGACAGACAGTTGCATGGGCCTCATGTGCACACAGGCATTAAGAAAGGAAAGAAAAGGATATGGATGTGAATCCCACCCTTTGAGAGTGGCTGGAGAGCCAGAGAGAGAAAAGCTTTTACCAGAAGGCTGTGAATGTATTGTTTGTACATCTCCTTGCAGGCCAAGATTTCAGGGGCCTGGGCAGAGGGGAGCTGTGGGAGCTCTTTGCACACCTGCCTCTCCCTTAGCCCTTCCCATTTTCTAAACAACTGGGATAGAGGGAGAGGACGGGAAAAAAGGATTGATCTCACACAGGAGGCTGCAGCCCCTTCTGCTCTCCAGAGGTTTGTCCAAACTCTCTCTGTCTGAGCACAGGGAGGGACCTGCCCTGCCAGCACTGCAGCCCAGAATCCTTGTGGGACAGCACTGGGATGAGAAAAGACAGCCAAAGGACCCATCTCCACCCCAGCACCTCTCCAGACATGTGGTGCCTCCACATCCAGTGGCCAAGTTGCCAGAGCAGGAGAAGAGATAGCTTGGTCTCCTCCTCTTGGCTGGGTCCTGTGCCAGAGCACAGCACACAAACTTCCAGCTGCAGGAGGATGGGTAGAGACTCCTGCCTGCCATAGACACCCACCCCTTTTTCCATTTGCCAGCTGTCACAGGACACTGATGGCAATGAGATGGAGACTGTGAATTCCTTCCTAAGCATATCCAGAGAACCTAGCAGAGCTGCTTCCCTTCCTCTTCCCACAGGACGGGAATGAGCAAGAGCACAAGCATCCCATGACTTGCTGTGCCCTCGCCTCAATGCCTGCTCCAAGGAGCTTTGGGAACCCTGGCTGAGCCAGCAGTTCCTCTGCAGCTGGTGCAGGGAGGGTTTGTTTGCTGGCTCTGCGCTTGGGCTGATGCCTGCTGGCTGCCAACAGCTTGGGCAACAGGTTTGTCTTTCCTAGAAGCTGGCATCTATGCCAAGCTAAACCAACAGTGGGAGCAGGGAGAGAGATGTGGCATAACCAGGAGAGGGAAAAAAACAGAAATAAAAGTTAAAAGGAGATTTAAAGGAGTGTGAATTCCCTGCAACAAGGTAGTACTTCTCCAGAGCTGACCAAGATCCAAACCTCCAGATCATCAACCAACAGCTTGTGCCCCTGTGGCCTGGCAGCTCCCCTGGCAGCCAATCCTGCTGATTAGCACACAGACCCTGGAGCCAAGCTCAGTTTCCAGACAAGGCAAAGCACCAAAGAAAGGTCCAAACCTCCCACGAGTCAAGTCACAGAGCTGATGTGCTCAAAGCAGTTGTTCAATACAACTGTACTATAAAAGAGGTCATAAAGAATGGCAAAAGGAAACCATTATATCATGGGAGTGCTCCTTGCTTGTGTTTACTCCCCTGGGCAAGAAAGCTCACCAGATACACAGTCAAAAGAAACAGAAGGGGTGAGATGAGAAATCAGCACTGTGATGTACAGCACATTTTGAATCCACAGTCAAAAACTGACCTGAATCCATAAAGGAGATGTGATTGCTGCTGGTTAACCACCTTTTGCAGACTTCCTCAGGTTGTGTCACTGCTTCCAAGATCTGCTGATCAAGTACCAGTTTCTGTTCCTCCTCCTACACGTCAGCTACTACTAATAAAGCCAAATAAGAGCTAAGCAGATGCTGCAATACAGGAAAGGTAACTGAGGGTACAAAACAGGCGAGACAAACACTGAAAACATGTTTATGTTTGCTCCTGGAAGATCAGCATACCCTCATATTAGCCAATGAGATCTCAGCAGCACTTAGTAGCTGAGTGTTTCCTTCCTTACTCAAAGCCTTGGCCTCAAGGCAGGCTACACACAAAAATAAACTACTACAGCTAGCAAGGAAGAGCCCTCCCACACAGCAGTGACCAGGACAGACATTCTGGGACAGATTCTTCCTCTTGAAGCATCTGCTTAGATGCTGTACCATGCCCCAGAGCCCAGTCCTGTGATTCTCTCTCAGGCTGCTCAGTGTGGACCCCCTTGCTTCCCCAGGAGTGAGCTGGGCTCTTTAAGCAGAGGGGTCCTGCCAGAGCTGCCATGACTATTAGCTGCTGCTAATTACTCCAGGACTTGTGACACAGGGTGCAGGAGATTCCCTCAACTGCCTTGAGCAGCCTGGCTTGCCAAAATGAATCACAGATCTATTGCATGTTTAAGCTCACCCACTTCCTGGGCACTGAGGGGGGAAAGAACCCCAGCTCATTAAAAAGGTTACGAAACTTGCTGGATTCTTCTCTTTTTGTACCATGATTGATGCTGTCCCCAAAACCAGGTCATGACATTTTGCTCCAAAAGGAACTACTGGCTTTGTTCAGATTGTGAGAGGTATTGCAGGCACAGAAGAACAGCAGACTTTGGGCACTGGACTCTCAGCCATGCACAAAGCAGGGTCTGCCAGGCTGCTCTTCTCCAGGAGCTGCAGCCATCCCTGGCTCCAGCAGCAAGCATGCATGAGATGTGCTCCAAAATCTTGAGCTGGCAGACATGGGAAGACAGAGGAATCATCCCTCAACAGCTTCCCAGCAGAGGGACTCCCTGCCCTCATCAGGCTCCATGGCTGACAGGCAGCAGCAGGGAAGGCAGGGAGGAGCTGTGCAGTTCTTAGCTCTTAATTGAAGTGCTGCTCCCTGACCTTCAGCAAATCTGGTCAGGTCCCCTACCTCCATTTACTTGATCACAAAAAAAAAACCAAAAACCCAAACCCAACCACAGAGGGACTCCCTGCCCTCATCAGGCTCCATGGCTGACAGGCAGCAGCAGGGAAGGCAGGGAGGAGCTGTGCAGTTCTTAGCTCTTAATTGAAGTGCTGCTCCCTGACCTTCAGCAAATCTGGTCAGGTCCCCTACCTCCATTTACTTGATCACAAAAAAAAAACCAAAAACCCAAACCCAACCACAACCAAAACCCACCAGAAAGAAACAAAGCCAGGATTTTTACAGTGCTTCCTTCCTGATCATTCCCTGGCTGCATTAGCTCATGGAGACAGCATGTTTTGGAAGTGCAGAGCAATAGATCAGTGCCAAGTGTCATTGTTTATTCCTGTATTACAGATTTTGACACCTGTTTGCAGTCACACTTGCAGGTCTGGCCTGCCCAGCCCCAGGTCAGCTCCCTGTACTGCTTGTGACCATCATCTCATGTTGTACATTCCTGTACAAGGCATTTCCAGGACAACTTTCAGGAAGTAAACTGGCACATCTCATTCTGCCAACTGCTGACTGGTATTTCTGTTCAGTGGTCAACTCAGGACAGCCCCAAGTATCTATGGCCAGGAGGGGCACGTGGGTCTGACCCATAGGAACAAGGACAGCAGCCAGGAAACAAGCAGGTACTGGAAAGGTGACACCACTGGGGCTTCTCAGTGCTTGAAATGGCACAGAAGTGCTGCTATTTGAGAAGATCATTAAGTCTGGCAAGGAGAGATGATCATCTCCCCAGAGCCCAGGGCACAGCAGAGGTGGCTGTGGAACTGTGGCAATGCTTTGGGATCACGCTGCAAACCTGGCACTCTCACACCAGAGAAGCTGTCTGGGATGTATTCCCCTTTCCTTTAGCATCCCAGAGGTGAGGAGGCTGGAGGCTCAGAATTCAATGAACCACTGTAAGATGACACGTTCCCAAACTGCTGAAGTCCTCTTGGCTGTACCCCAAGGCAGTCAGTTTGCTCAGGGACCCCTTGTCCTCCTGAACCTGAGCAGGACATGTGGAAGGATCTGGTTTCAGGAACATCAGTAATTATAGAACAGGGCTGCTGAGGGAGGAGCTCACAGAAACAGCAACACCACTACCCAAGGCAAACAGTGGGCACAGGGTGCTGCAGACTCAGAGCAGCACTGAAATGGAACTCCAGGAAAGTGGTGAGTGGAACAAGCTGTGGCTGTGAACGGGAGCACTGGGGCCAAGTTTGGCAGTGCTGTGCACACCAGCACCCAGCTTAGAATTTCCCAAAGTCTCAGGGTCACTGGGACACCAGCAAGTGCCACCCATGCTTTGGAAGGGGCAATCGGCTCCCCAGAAAAGCAATTGGGGCAGAAAAACAGCAGTGGGCTGATGAGTCACTAAGGATCACACACATGCATGCAGCCTTCTGTCTGGAGCCAAGCATCCAGCAGGCCCCTAGGTTTTAGTGCTACATTGCCAGTGCTCCCAGATGCAGAAAAATGCCCACAAAACCAACGGCAAGCCTCCTCCTCTTTGCAGCAACAGATTTTAGATCCCATGGACTAACCATGAAAAAAAATAAATCCATCAGCCTGTAAGTTTTGTTATGTTTACACTTGGACTCCGAGAGAAGTGCTGCTTGGTTTTGTAGACTTTAGCAAAATATCCTGGGCACCAGCCACGCCGCTCTGATCCCAGGGTGCAGCTGACAGAGAGCAATTGTGCCCAGGCACGGGTTCTGATGATTCAGCAGGGCCAGGACATGCGCAGCGAGACGGATCGAGCACATTGCTGTGTCTGCTGCAGCTCCCCTCAGGAGCAGGAAAACAGGGGTCCAGTCTGACTGCACACATCCCCAGAAGAAAAGCTCCAGAGAACACCAGAATCATTTTTCTACACAAACTAGCACAACACCCTCTCAGGGAACTAGATGGGAATGCTGTTTCCTTGCTATTTTTGGCCACATTCACATAGCAATAGCTGCCTGGACAACAGAGATTCCCCTGCCTTTTCAGCAGGGAAAGGAGCAGCCACCGTGTCAGAGTGATCCTGCCAAGACTCACAGTGTGCTCTGACCATTTGGATTTCTGCCTCAGCCCCCAGAAAACAAAACGCTTGAGCAAAGCATTCGCACCTTTCACAACATCCTCATGCCCTTGGCACTGTCTTGGGGGTTCAGGGTGAGCCACAGAGCTCACAGCCAGCCAACAGCTACTGCTTCCTGACACAGCCAGCTGCTGGCAGCTCAGCACGCTCCTCAAGTTCATGCTCACCAACAATCCTTTTCCAGAGATCCCCATGCCCCTAACAGCACAAGTTCTACCCCACGGATATGAGAACCCACAGATGTTTTCAGAGATGTGGGTCTCTGACCATCAGCCCTCGTGGGGTAAACAGCTTTCAAGAGTCAACATCTCTAGCAGAACCCATATAAACAACTTGAAGGTGAAAAGCTGATTTGTACATTCTCAGAAATATCCCAGATTGCATTATGATGAAATCAAGACTTCCACTGAAAAACACTTGTAGCAAGTCAGGCAGGACAGGGGTTTGAGCTTGGGTTCCCATCAGCAAGATGACTGCACAAAGCATTGCTTATTTTGAAGCCATCTCACACAAGCCCTGCCAGGAAAGGCTTGACAAAGCCTGTCCTAATGAGATAGGCATGTGTTTCACAGTAAAGTCTGTCTTAACAGCCCATCAAAGAAATGCTTCCCTATCAGCTCATCTGCCCTTTCAAATCACCAAAACCATTCCCTGTCTCCAACCCACATATCTGTTAAGGGTTGAACATGCATGTTCTGGTTTTTGCTATTTCAAATTCCAGTTCCCACACCAGGGCAAATCAGGAAATGCAGCCTGATGCCAACAGCTTTGGATGACAGGGGGCTCACCAGGCTGTGCCCATGCCCCAGCCCCAGAGGTGGGTCCTGGCTCAACCCAGCACCAGAATGAACACTTGTGTTTCTGGCTTGTGCTTTCATCATGCCACCTCCTCCTCCATGGTCAGGATTCCCCTGCAAACCACAGACTCCCCAAAACTCAAAACTTCGAGCAGAGCCTGTCTGTGAGGTCCCCAGGAAAGCACCCCAACATACACATGCATTTCAGAGCCCTTTGCAAAGCCAAACAGACCTGACCAAAACGATCCCAGATGTTCACAAGCTCTTGGCTAAGCCGTGGAGAACTCAGACATTTTCCAGACACTACGACTGAAACAGTGAATATTAAAAGCATTTCAAGAAGTCATAATGAAACTAAGATACGTCTTGAGTCAGTTCTGCTTTGAACCCGTCCTGCAGTCAAGCAGGGCTCCAGTGAACGTCATCCCCAAACATATATTTTAGGGAAGATGCACTTCACAATCTCCTTGACCAAAAGGATTCATACTGGCATCAGTCGTTCCACTCCAAACCCTTCATTGGAAAAGCAATTTCCCAGGCATTCTGCCAAGGCAAGCATATTTCAGAGTAATTAACAAAAAAATAAAACTAGTTCTACAGAAAAATCTTACTTGTCCTCACTATGGAAATCACTTCTGCTTGTCCAGACTTTCCCAGAGTCTCCAAAATTACTGCAGCAGTTCATCCCTGAACAGACAGACTTCTGGAAAAAGCAGAGATTACTCTGCAGCACCTGATGAGAAGCAGCAATGCAGCCCGACAAATCTGTGGTTATCAGATTGTTCCTGCTCTAAGCAAAAGAGTCAGTACAAACCACAAAACCCCTGACATGTAAAATGTCATTGTCAGGGCAAGCCAGGCTGGGCTCTGACAGCAAATAACCTTTCAGGCATAAGCACTGTAACATCATCTCACCCAATTAAAACATCATTTGTATGTCAGGTTCTGTTGTTCAGAGGAGCCCAAGAGTCTCTTGTTGTGCCAATCCTTCAGTCTCCAAGAACATTTGCAGATTTCCAGTCCATAATTCAATAGCCACAGACGAAATACTCCCCAAAGGGCAACAAGATGTACTGTACAAAAATACATATTTTTCAACAGGCTTCACGCAAGAAAGACTGAGCCCATCAACACCAGAAAGCAATTCTGTACAACAATGCTCTTCTGATCAGCAAAGCCTCGTGGGGCTCATTATAAAATCCTCTCCACATGCTGTGAAGATCCTTGGAAGTCTGTGTCTTGAATACCAGAACAGAGATGGCGTAACCATTGCACCAATCTGACACAGAACCCACAACAGCTCAACACCTCAGAGCTGTGCTGAGGCAAACACACACCCACAGCCACAGCAGACAGCCACAGCACCGCTCATTCCAGGAATCACTTCAGAGCTCTGAGGGCAGGACAGTGCCCACCGTGGCCCTCTGACCACCTCCTCCAAACCCCTGTCCTGCCTCTGCCATGACCTGCTCAGCTTTGTCCAACACCACTGCCGGGTCATGTGTGGGATTGTTGGGTGATTGGTGACACACATGCAGCTCTCATGTGCCCTCCCTCATCTACAAGAGCCAATTTCAGTCCTAAACATCAGTGAAATAATGAAATGTTATGTCACTATGCTTTGACAGCAAGAGCCAGCTGAGGAGAACAGGATTAGACCATGGTCCTCACAGTGTATTCCTGAAGTAATCCATAAGATCATATTCAGGAACCGAACAAAAATAAGGCACGGATTTGAAATTTAAAATTAAATTTAAGAAAGTTTAAGCTGACGGACCAAGGCAAACTTGCTGGAAGCAAGCTGCTCTTCCCTACCCCGAGATTTCAGAAGCACTGCTAGGTGCCTGGTGGGTGGCCCAGGGGGAAGGGGAAGGGTTACCTCTGCGGAGCAGCTGTCCCTGTCCGCCTGCCGCCGAAAGGCACCGCTCGGTCACCATGTCAGCACCGACAGCCAAGAGCTGGAGCAATCTGCAGGAGGACACACAGCGAGTTTCCAGGGCTGTGCTGAAGGCCAGATATTTATGCTGCTGGGAGCACTGGGCTGGGTCCAGCAGCAGCTCTGAAATTTAAACACACACTCCCTCTTTTGCACGCTGAAACCCTGGGCCAGGGTGACTCCACAGCATCTGTCCCAACACCAGGGGGTAGAGCAAACCCTGGGGTGTCCCAGCAGTGACAGCCCCATCCCCTCACCATGGATGTCACCTTTGCCTCAAGTCACCTGCAGCCAGAGGCTGATGACCCTGAGCTCTTGTGACAATGCACAAAGTTGATGCTAGGAAAAGGTCTATAGTGGCCACAAGGCTGCTTGTTTACCCAGCTTGCTTAATCCACCTTTAAGAGGCTGCCAGAAAGTTCCTGCAACTTTAATGAACTTCCTCTTGGGTGGCTGAAACTTAAGGATTCAACAGAGTTCATTCACTCTTCTTGGTTTTCCTGATAACTTTGCCTTGTATGAATTTCAGACTCAAAAGAGAAGGAAGAGACTAATGCTGAAAAAAAATGGCTTGTGAGGCTTTGAACTAGAGGACTTAGAGGAAATATGTCCTATTTTTAGACAGTTATGCAGACTAACTGGACTAAAACATTAAACAAAGATGCTGTGAACATGATGCTATTTGCACCCACATACCCTCCTTGACATTACCCAGGCTTAGCTGCTCCTCCCACTCCAATGAAAAGCCCAGCTTGTATTGCTGCCCTTGACATGGGACAACTTGTGAGGCAGCTGAGGACCAGAAACAGACCAGAAAGAGACCAGAAAGAGACCAGAAACAGACCAAGCAACAAACCAGCACCACCAGCCCCTCCCAGGCCAGGCAGCAACCTGTGAGTGCTGTGCTGAGAGTGAGCCCCCAGTGCAGCACATCCTTCCAGGTCTGACACGGCAGTGGCAGCTGCAGCTGCCCAGGGGAGATGAAAAAAGAACATGAACCCCCTGCCTCAAAAGCTGAGTGTGGAGGGTGTTCCCTACAGGATCAAGGCACTCCCAGAGGAGGCCACAACTGAGATACAAAAATATAACCTGAGTCCCTTGCACTGGAGCATCAATCACATCAGGATTTCCCAGCCAGTGATGTCAAAGCCACATCCTCCTGAAGGCAGGGATTGCCCTTGTTTAGAGGTGGGGGCTGAGGACAGCCCAGAGCTCTGCCAAGAGTGGATCCAGCACCATCCTCTGCCTCAGTGGAGCCACAGAACTGCCCTCAGGAGCTTCCCTTGCACAGCACAGTGGGTTTCTCATCCCTTCTCCCACAATATGGAAGACAGTTTTTCTGAACAATCCTGACAAAGTTTCTCTTTAATCTCTCGGACAAAGAACAACACTAAAATCATTCCAGCCCCACAGCACATCAGGAGGTGGCTTTCTCCACCTCCAGCAGCAATAAAGCTCATCCCAATTCAGTAACACAGCATTAGCCTTGACACTGTCAACGAGGGCTGAATCACATGCAGGGAGTGCACAAATCACACCCTCAGCTCTCTCTCATTGCAGACCAGAGTGCCCTGCTGCTGCCAGAGATCTGAGAATTAAAAGGAAATGCCTGGCTCACCTTGTCCCACTCACAGCTAAATGCCAGGACTTGCCCATCACACCACACACAAGGCAACACTTGCAGGGCACAGAGGGAGCCTGCCAGCACATCCCACCTGGATGCTTCCTCTGCTGTCCCTGGCTGACACACGGCAAGTCATCAGGAAAACTCCCACCTCACCCTGGAGCGTGTTTGTACAGAAGAGGAGACTCTGCTGGAGGCAACGAGGGATTTGCATGGAGAGGGCAGGAGGAGAGGAGAGGAGGGCAGAAACGAGAAATGGGACATGGGCTGCCTCAACCCACAGGTCACTGCTTTACAGACCAACACTGCAACCAGCCCTGGACTGATTCATGGGGCAGCCACTGCTCAGCCCCCTCGAGGGTCTGCATTGTCCAGACCCTGCAGCACGTCTGATTCCTTCCCACACCCATGTCCTTCATCTGGGATCCCAGGGCAGGGAGGAGTGGAATGGGCAGGAATGAGGGATGAGAAAGGACTCTCAGACCCTTCCTCCTGCAGCAGCCCCTCACCAGATGCTCTGCTTGAGGTCCACCCGGACCCTTCTCCTCCTCCTCCTCCTTCCAGCCCCAAACTCCTGCAGAGCCTGGTACCCTCCAGCACCCCACCCCGGCACAGGGGACAGCCACACTGTCCCCATAAACCTCCTCCCGTGTGGCCACGTACCGCCCTCAGTCTCGCTTGATTTCCCAGGAACTACAGCCTAAACCCACCGATGCCCCTCACGCCCCAGCTCTCCACACCCACGTCCCCTTCTCACCGAGCCCTGCCCCTCACACCCCCTGCCGGGAGCCGCCCGCACTGCGCCCCGCGGCGGGAGCGGGGGCTCATGGGAAGTGTAGGCGCTGCCTGCGGCGCGCTCTGAGGGGTGCCCAATATGGCGGCGGGTCCGCCTCAGGGCAATGGGCTCCGCGCCTGAGTAGCTCGAGCATTACAAGTGATCCCCTTCGCCCCCAGCGATTCGCACCGCGGGCCCCTCGCGCCTCGAGGGAAGCAATAACCCAGCCTCCAGGCAGAGCTGGGAAAGGCTCATTGTGCCCAAAAAACCAGTGCAGAGTGGCGGGATCCTGTGTCCCAATGGCGTGGCCAGGATGGTGCGGAGCAGGCCGGGACCCCACGCGGGGACGGCCCAGGGCTCAGGGCCACCCTGATATGTGATACATTCTGTGTGCCAGCGCAGAGGGAAGGGGCAGAGGTGATTTTGTCCTGCTGCCCTGCAGTGCCCGTGGCCCCCCTGTGCGTCAGCGCGGCCGCGTGGGCCTGGGCCAGGCCTGCCCTGCCCCGCGCGCACACTGAGCGCTTTGTCCCGGGCCCCTTCGGCCACGGTGGAAAAAAACCGAGAGACAGAAACACCGAGACCGAGGGCAGCGCCGTTCGAGGGGGAGGAAACAGATCTTAATCTCCCCAACGAACTCCTCATCTCAGTGCAGAGATGGAGCCGTGCAGAGCTTGCTCCCCGGGGCCTGTTCCACAGGCGACCCTGGCTCTATGCCCCTGGCTATAAACACCCCACAGGCACAGCTGACTGGGACTGTATTCATACAGAAGTGCCTGAAAAACTAACCCAGAGGATGGTGTGTTATTTTGTACATATTGTGTATATTTTTTGTTTTGTTCTGTGTCCCTCTTGGCCCTCCACACACCAACCAAAAATCTGCGGGTGGGGCCACTTCCCACAGGTTGTGGCTGATTCCTTTCAAAGGGCTCTTTCACACAGGAGAAATCCAAACCCTGCCCTGCCACGGACAGAGCGCTGGTGCCTGCAGGGCCACTAGTGTGTGGAGCAGGAGGGCTGTGGCCAGTGGCTTCAAAAGCTTTATTGGTCATTAGTTTCTGCTAATTAAGTGGCTCCAGTACTACCAACCACTGCCAGGGAACACAGTGGTAGCTGTAGTTAGGGACAGCTGGCGTGGTGTGGGGTGACAAGAAGACCCTGCTTGGTCAGTCCAGGTGTCCTTGGCTGGTGGCAAAGCCCCACACCCTGGAGCACAGTGAGTGATGCAGAAGGGTGGTTGTAGAAACCAAGGGGGAACTGCAGCGCTGGGCCACACGGTCCCGACCCAGCAGAGGCTCTTTTTTAGTACAGGGTGTAAAACAGAGCACAAGGAATTGAGTCCTGCAGTCCAGAGGAGAAAGTCCCACTGCCCTCTTCCCAGCACTGGGCTGCCTGAGCCTCCTGGCACGTGGTGGCTGCAGCCCTTCACAGATGGAAACGGGAGCACTTCTGCCTTATGCAGCCCCCTGGAGGCTCCGTGCTGGTCCCCATCCAGAGATGGCCACACTGACCGTCCACTTGGAGGGACAAGCTGAGCCCTGCCATTCCCAGCAGGGCTCTGCCATCCTGGTGGGCTAATTGGTGGGCTCTGTGGCCATGGTGTCCGCATCTGGAGACGGTGACATGCTGCTGTTCCCACCGTTGCTCACGTTTTCCTTGCTGTTTTCCCTCGTGGGGTCACTGCCTTTTTCCTCCGCCCTCTGCTTGAGTTTGAGGGAAGAATCTCTCCGTGACAGAAGGGGCTGGTAGCCAGCAAAGACTCCTCCACTCACGTTTGTTCGCTTGTCTGGGGGTGGACAGAAAAAGAGAATTGTTTACCTGGGGCCCAAACTGACTGTTCAGCTGAGAGAAAGGTGTGTGGAGTCCCTCCTTGCAGGAGGCATTGCACTATCTCTGAGAGTCCTTCCAGCCACCAGCTGCCCCCAAAAAGGAGAAGATGGGTGGGGGTGTGGGCTCGTGCCCCAGCACGGGGGAGGTCCATGAGGGGTGGCCAGCTGGTCTCCTACCTCCAGGCCCGATGGGGTGCATCAGCCGGTTCATCTGGACGTTCCAGTGCTTGACGTTGGTGCTGGCCTGTCGCAGCTTCCTCTGGGCAGCCTGGCAGGGCATGGAGGGAAAGGTGAGCTGCTGCCCCACTGCGACCATGGGCACGGGCTTCCCTTCCCTCAGTAAGCCTGCACTGGAGGTTTCCTCTGGGATGGAGAGCCAGTTCACGTTCCTCTAGACCTTCTGCTCCCCCTCCAACCCTCCCCCCTTCACACACTCCCACTGCTGACATCCCTTGGGACATCAGCGCTGTGTCCCAGGGCAGGACACCCTTGTCCTGTCTCAGCCACTGCAGCACACCGTGCCTGCATGTGGCACAGCTCAGAAACCCCCATGGCTTGGTCCTCCCCAGCATGGAGGTGGCTCTGGGAGGGCTGGAAAGTCCCCTGGGTTCACCGTGTGAGGGGATGTGGCACGGATGTGATGCTCACCATGACATCTTGGTCCACCCGCTGCCTGTTCACTCTCACTTCTTCCAGCTGCTTCTGCGCCTCTTCCAGACACTTGTTCTTGTTCTCCATCTCCTGCTTGAGGACTTGCTTCTCCCTCTGAGTTCTGATGATATATTCCTCTTGCTCCTCCTTCAGCTTCATCAGCTGTTTCAGCTTCTCCTCTTCCTCAGCCAGTAGCCTGACAACGAAGAGCAAGAGTGAGGATGTCCCCCTGCCACTCCTTCCCTCAGCCTTCCCTGTCCCAGCCTGCATACTGGGAAGTCACCAGCACACCCAGTACCCGGGAGCACTGAGCTGCCCTGGGAGCAGGGCTGCCCAAGGAAGGGGAGAGCTGCCCTGGTCCTACCTGGCCTGAGCATATCTCACAGCCTCCTCGTCCTGCCGCGCTTTCACCTCCTGCTGCAGGGCCTCCTGCAGCCTCTCCTGCATGTCCTCCAGCTCCAGGATGCGCTTGCGCTGCCGCTCTGCCTCTGCCTCCTTCAGCACCATCTCTGCCTGCATGGAGGCGCGAGCCTGCGGCGGGGACAGGAGCCATCAGTGGGCCAGGCCACCACCAGTGTCCCCAGAACCCGCTGGGAGGAGCGGGCCAGAGCAGGGGCAGCCCACGGTGACAGGTCCGAAGCAAAGCTGTTTTTCTGCTCAGGAGACAGGCTGTGTCATTTGGAGCCAGTGCTGGCTGTGAGGTCAGAAATGGGCTCCCTGTCCAGCCTGGCACCATTTGCCTCTCACTGCCCCCTAGCTAAAGCCCCTTGAGGCAGGTTGTCCTCATCTCCTGCTCAAAGGGATCTCAGGCCCAACAGAGCCCAGAGGTGATGGGTGGCAGCAGCACTGTACATCCAAACCCCTGGGCTGCCCTGGCCAAGGGAAGGAGAAGGAAGCCCCCACCCCTGAGCACCACGGCCCATGTGGGATGCACCCACCTGCTCGGCCTCCCGCAGCTGGATCTCCAGTGTCCTCTGCATCTCCTCGTGCTGCTGCCTCCGCCGCTGCTCCTCCTCCTGCAGCAGGATCTCTGCCTGCCTCTGGGCCTCCTTGAGCAGCTCCAGCTCCTGCAGCTTCCTCTCCTTTTCCTCCTGCAGCTGCTTGAGCCGTTGTGTCTCCTCCTCCTTGGCCGCCTTGCGCTGCTCCCGCTGCTCCCGCTGCTCCCGGCGCTTCTGCTTCAGGTCCTTGTGCAGGGACTTCTTTCCCTCGGCCTGCAGCCGGATGGCAGTCTGGATGGCTGGAGAGGGAGGGCACGGTCAGTGGGGACACACAGGGGGCACGGGGAGGCTGGGGAAGGGGCGTGGGTGGGCACAGACCGAGCGTCCACTCCTGGCGCTGCCGGGTGTCCGAGGCGCTCATCTCGTAGGTGCGGGACGTGGTCTTCACACAGAACATGCACCTCTTCCCATCCCTGTCTGGCAACACCTGCAGGGAGAGGAGACAGCACAGCCTTACCCCCTGTACTCCACCTTATCCCCCCGTCTTTAGCCACAGGAGTGGCTCTCCCATGCTCATGGACGTGAAATTGTGTGCCCTTGGGTCTCCCTCCCAGGGGTTTGGACAGTTTGCTGTCCCCAGGCTGAGCGTGGCCCGGGCTGTACCTCCACGCAGCAGTGCTTGTCCAGCGGGATGCTCCCCTTCTTCTCCTTCCGTTCCTCGCTCATGTAGTAGGAGAGGACACTGGGCTTCAGCATGAACCACCGCTCCGACCAGTTCCTCCTCAGCTGGCCCTTCTTCCACAGGTAGCCCTGCACCCGAGAGACACGAGATCAAAACGGGGTGGGAGCAGCACGGAGCTCGTGCCCCAGAATATGTGAGCTCCTTGCCTGCTTGAGCACGTCCTCAATGACCTCCTGGTACACCTCCTCCACGGCCATGCTGATGGCCTCCTGCTCGATGCCCCTCAGGAGCCGCCCCGAGTTCACCATGTCCAGGAAC